CTCGTCCCTCTTACAACCAACCATTCTCCTAAAGATGCCGCTCTATTTAAGCTGCCAGATCTGCCTGCCTCTGCCTCGCTAATGTTGCTGCTACTGCTGCGTTCATGTTGCTACTGCTCGCCTGCCCCAGCTTCCACCTGTAGGCTCGGGAATAGTTTTCTATTCATCTCTCAATTCTCTATGTAAATCTGTGGAATGAAGAGGCCCGACGCCAAACTTAAACTATATGCTGCTTCTAATAAACATATCAAGAAACACGCGAGTTGTGTGACTGAAATAAGATTTAGACATAACAAAATTAGCCCCAATGCTGTAATGTAATAAGCTGGATATGACGAAAGCAACCTTTTCTTCTGCTTCTGGGAAATTAATGACAGAACTTAAAGGTGGGGTAGGTAAGTTTGAGAAACCGGCTCGAGATACACTTTTTGTTATATTCCATGGAATGCTCTTAACATCCCGATAGCAATGAATATCTTAAGTGCTTTGACAAAAAAATGTCATCTGTGGAAGCTGTGGGGGAAACTTCTGTGTAGCAATGCATGGAGTCACCGACTCAGGAAGGAGACACGGTGAGAGTTGGAGCTTTGATGTCAAACACTGATGGGTTTATTCAGAGTATTCGGCCGGAGGATTCACATCACAAATCAAAGAGTCAGAGGTTCTGACCACACGGTAGAGTTGCCACGTCAATTCTGAAGAACCTCTCTCTATGCTAGACCTTTTAACAGGTTCACAGAGAGAAATCAACATCTCTGAAGGAGTAGACTAAACACTGAATCATCTGCGTCCGACGCTCATGGCCTCAAGGATTTCACATCCGAGAGCCCACAAACACCGATAAAGAAGTGCTTCAGTGTTCCCACAACAATTACCCTTCGTGCCAGTCAAGTTGACCGGTCTCACACTGGTGACAACACATATGGCACCAAGGCCTTTCCTTAGAGGAGATAACACATGTCAGAGTAAAAGGTTAGATATCTAGAAGAATTATTCCTTAACAGAAGCCGTAATACTGTAAAAAGCACGACCAGTTATTTTAGCCGGGCCGGCCTATCTGCCTGTCAGCCTTCCATCTGTGCACAAACTTATCTCGTGCCCTCATTGGTCATGTGCGCGTTCGTGTGTGTTGGAGGAGGGGCTCTGTAAGGAAGTGGCAGATTTTTTCCGGCTGTGTATTTTCAAATTCTAGCGATCTCGAGCTGGTTTCTCCAAAATGACCTACCCCACCTTTAAGAGTAGTAATAAAACAAAAAAGCTTAAAATGAACTATCGTTACAAAATATTTATCTTATATAATAATAATAATAATAATAATAATAATAATAATAATAATAATAATAATAATAAGGCTTTATTTATATATCACTTTTCATAAGGCAGGTGTAGCTCAAAGTGCTTTACAAAATGGCAAACATCACAAATTATATAAAATGTCTGATCAAAGATCCACCTCAGCAGCTGATTCTGTACCTGGACCCATGACTCTGTGGATAAACTGTGACACGAGGAGGTGCACTGGCTCCAGATGTTGAACAGATGTGTACGAACCATAGACTGTATATATAAAGGTACGAACGCAGTGGGGGAAACTGTTACTTGATGCTTGAGTGGCGGCTGAGGTTCAACGCTGAACCAGCTGCAAGCCTTCAGCAGTTTAACACATCAGCCTGCAGCTGGGAGTCTGTTAGTGCCAGGTTTCTCTTTGAGCCTGAGCTCCCCCTGCTGGTCTGAGCAACACCTGCCGATATGCCATCCAATATAACAATACATATATTTAGTTTAGTTTATTTATTTATAGTGTCGTGGACAGTCCCAATCGATGAACTGTCACAAAAACAGTAAATTGAGCAGCTTTAGACGACATGGCTAATTTCCAGCTGTTGTCCCCAGCCAGATGGTAATAGACACCCTTAAAATCACAATATATCAACAGCATTAGTTATAAAATAAAAAGGATGAAAGACAAGTAGATACAAGCGAAAGGATAAAAGAGAACAATAAACAACACACGTTACTACATACAGTACATGTCACATATAGCACATCACAATCACATAACAGAAACGAGGGGCAACATCCATGATCACAACATGTAACATACACGCCATACTCAACACAGACTAGTGTGTGCAGGTGTAGTTCTCAGTGAACCATGTTTTTAAGTGAGCTGTGAAGGTGGTATGTGTATGTATGTCTTTGATTTGAGTGGGTAGTGAGTTCCAGTTTTGTATTGCTGTGACCGAGAATGATGACTGACCATAAGTACTCTCCCTGAATGGGACTGATAGGTCGCGACGTGTGGAGCTTCTAGTGGTCAGTCTGGTGTTCTTACGTTGAGTAACCAATGAGTTAAGAGGTGGAGGGGCTGTGTTGTGCAGGATTTTGTACACCAGAACGATGTTCCTATACTTTATTCAATCTTCCCAACTCAGGATGTTATGCTTGTTGAGGATGGTACAGTGATGGGAGCTGTTAGGTTTCTGGTCCAGTACTTTGGGGGTTTGTTTGTACAGGGTTGCTAGTGGCTTCAGTGTGGAGCTGTTAGTTTGCCCCCAGCTTGTGAGACAGTATGTTAGATGTGACATGATCATGGCATTCATGTATAATTTGGCAGCATTCAATGTCATTGTGTTTCTTATGTATTTAAAATTTGCTAGGCTAAACTTTACTCTTTGGGTCACTTTTTTGACTTGTGTTTTGAATGTTAAATTAGAGTCAATAATGATTCCAAGGTACTTAACCTGAGGCACGATATCAATATTTTCACCTGAGATGCTTATATTTGACACAATGTTGCATTTTCTTTTTGTGAAAAACATTCCTACTGTTTTGTTTACATTAAAGTGGACCTATCATGCTATATTTAAATAATATAGTGTAGGACCATACCTATATAAGGCATATTTATACTTTTTTTTTTCAAAATACCAAACAGATCATGCATTTTAGCCATGCCTCATTTCGCTCAATTTGACAATTTATAGCTCTGTTTTTGCAAGGGTTGATTCTGTGAGCAACAGCACCATCTAGAGGCCTGGCATATGTACTACAGCGTCTCCAGCGCTTTCGAACGGCAATGCCGTGGTTGTCTCCTCCTGATTGGTGGAGTTGGCCCAATAGCCGTAGCGCCACCGTCCTGACGTCAGGACAGTGTTCAAATCTGGATCAGTTTTTATCAGATCCGTTGCAGCCCCTTTTTTAGAGATTTGGGTATGGAGGAAAATAGAGAGGGTTGTGTTTTCTGACACTTGGTGAGTTCCCTGGAACACCGGGGACACATATTCATGTATAAAAGACGTACAAAAGTGCATTTTGCATGATAGGTCCCCTTAAAGCTGAAGACAGGAGCGGTGTAGCCAGCTAGTGATCAGCACTGAAGCTGAGGTCAGTTTATCAGCAGCCTTTTGCTTTGTATTGGCATGCACATATATCACAGTGTCATCGGCATATAGCTGTGTTTCCACATCAGGACAGACAGATGGCAGGTCATTAATATATAGGGTAAAAAGAAGTGGACCAAGTATTGAACCTTGTGGTACTCCGGTGCTTAAGTCTAGAGCTGGAGAGAGTCGTAATTTGATTAGACTGTGTGCTGAGTCACTATTTCTGTTTAGTCTTGGATTGTTTCATATGTCCATATCCTGTCTATTTGTTTTCATAAATTACATTTTAATGAATTAAGTGAGTTGGAAATGTACATGGGTTTGATATGCAAACAAATGAAGGCATACACTGTTATGAATGCACTATTAAATGTTTATTCATAAAAAGTTTGTTCCAAATAAAGTATCACATTGTTGTTTCTTCCCTCTTTCTGCATTGCCTTTCATTTTGTTTCTCTTCACTTCCTCTGTTTCAAATTGACAAAATGATCTGATGAAACAGTTGAGTACTTGAGTGTGGAAACAAAAGTCATTTTTTAATCTTTTTTGTTTGTTGAATATGTAAATCAACAACTCACTTTTGAAAACACATTTATATTTTATTATACAATTCTGGTTTGGAACATTGTTCTGTGAATCCCTTAGGAAATGACTGATGGGACTTGCATTAAAGTAGTGGTTCTCAAACTTTTTCTGTCAGGCCCCCCCTTTGGAGAAAATAAAAAGTCGGGCCCCCCCAACACAAATAGTCACGTAATGGGCCAAGTTAACATTTATTAAAATACATCAATATGAACGTGAGCATTCCTTTGCTAGAACAGTGATAATAAAACAATGCTCCATAAGTCTGTGTGGTAAAAAAAAAAAAACATAATACAATTGTGCAATCCCTTTGCTAGAACAATATGTTACATCTCTCAACACCCACAATTCTTTTTTTACTGTCATAGTATTTCATACCTGTTTTTCATTTATTCTCTTATTTTTTTATAACTATAATGATCATATAAACGTGTGCCTAGGAAATAATTGTTTACATTAATCGTGACCAAAATGTTTGAGACCTGGCCACTAGCTCGCTAGCACCAGAAGCTAACAACAACGATCTCCGGTACCGGTGCGCTCTCTCTCTCGCTCGCGCACGCACACAAAATGGCTCGTTCCACACACACACAGAGCCGAGCTTGAATGAAACACAGAGACCCAGAAGTACTTGTACTGTATCATATTATTTTCGAATCAAAATATTTTCAAATTATGATTTCTTTTTTTTTCCAAACAATTTTTCCTCCTGGTCTCTCGCGTCCCCCCTGTCATGCCTCTGCGCCCCCCAGGGGGGGCGCGCCCCCCACTTTGAGAAACACTGCATTAATGTAATAAAAAGAGATTCAAAACTCTATTGTGCTGAAGGCCACACCCCGGACACATCTTTCAAAAGCCATCAACACCAGCACCAGTCTGACATGACTCAGTTGTTGGACTATTACCACTGACCCTTCCATGCTGGTGAAACCTTTATTTGTTTCTTTATCCATTTCTGAAACGTAGATCGGTACTGTATATATACTAAATGAAGTTGTATATTTAAACATAATGTATTTATTTCTTCTCTAGAAACAGAAAATATCGTTTGCTGACCATCATTGTTGGCTGTAAGGTAAGATAATTGTTTTAGAAAACTCAAATGATTGCAAGTCGTAAAATGTCAGGCTTATTTTGTTCGTTAATTCAGTCATTTTGTTACATATATATATATATGCATATTGTTTTTTATTTGTAAGAATAATGTGCATACCTTTACAGAATTTCTATCAAAACAAATGCAAAACATTTTAAATAGTTATCATTAGTTAACATCTTCATGCTGGCTCCCTTATTTTATCTTTGAAAGGACGACATTATTTCCTCTTTTTAGTGATGACACCAGTAACAGTAAGAGTACATTGCAATACAAGTTAAAGCAATAGTTTAAAAGTATTACTTTTATTTTTAACTAATACTTTTCAGTAGTATTCATTATGTTTTTTAAATAAGCAGCACTGCTTCTCTACTGTGTGGAGCTTGATATTACTCAAACTGGGTTATTCTTTCAGCAACAAATATCAAACGTCACATTTGATCAAATTTACTTTGTGAAGTATGAAGTGAAGTTAATATAATTCCCCCCTATAACACATGTATTCTTCTTTACTAGGGCTATTCATATTGTAGTAGGTAACTAGTAAATACGAATGAATAGATTTCGTGTCTGTTGTGTGTGTGTGTGTGGTGCCTCTGTAGGAATATCAAGCTGACAGAAAAGCATGACGGGTGCTTTAAAGGTTTTCCTCCTTCTACTTCAAGGTAGGGTTTCCAACAATTTAATGCCTTTCGATGTCTTTAGATTACTCACAAATAGTGCAAAATATGCTTTTTTGTTTAAAGTTAAGGTTTTGTGTGTGTGTGCTGTTTATTTGGACGGTATTGTTTTCTTTTAATTATGAAAGTTTACATTTCTACTTAATTTTCTTCTTTTTTTTTCAAGATGAGCTACAGTGTAGAAATGGCAATGAAAATCTTACGACCCGAGCTCCTCCAACGATGCAACATATATTATAAAATACAATGTAAAAAATAGTGCAAAAAGTCTATATACTGTACATGTACATAGAATATGATACAAGAACATAATATGAAATTAAATAATGTACATTAAGACGAAGTTAAATACGGTTTATTGCGGTTATAACTATTTAGATAAATAAGTAGATTGCAAGATGACAAAACAGATGAATGTTTATCGAGGCACTTAACAGAGCTCAGATGTTTAGTAGTCTTATGACCTGTGGGATAAAACCAGCCCACTCTCTTCAGTCTGCGTACAAATGACACGACTTTACACATTAGAAATGCATGCAATAGATACGCAGAAGTCCGATTTTGGGTGCATATGTTACGCTAACCATTCCCATTGAGTTCTGAGGCCGAGTTTTGCATGCATATGATACGCCACATTTCGTGCCTGCACCAATTATTTTTGTCTGGTCGGGTCTTGGTAGACTTGGTAGCTGTGTGGTTCATAAAAACATGTTCTTACTCAATACCAAGCCACAATTATTGTTTTTATTTTAAATCGTATAATGTCTGACTTTTTTTGCCGTCTGTGAGGAAAAGAAATAGGGCTCAGAGCTTCAGAATAATGAAATCTGTATTTTTTAAAATCTTTTTTTCCTTCTAATTTGTTATTCTTTTCTAAATAACACACTGTTATTTACTCAACAATAACACACAATTATCCTTGTTTTTATTTATTCGTTTAATTCTATAATCTTGGGCTTTTTAGCATGCTTTTTAGCCGTTAATAAAGTCACCGGAAACAGACGTAGGCCTATAAGGGACATTTCAAGCATCATTGCGATACACACGACAACCACAACCCACTGAACTGATTACCCAAGATCCTCAGCTTGAAGCTCGATGATTGGATGTTTTAGCCGCAATGCACGTTGGGATATGGCGTTAATGCGATATGATATCGGAAAAACATTTCAGAGTTTAGGATGGCCGAAGACACTACACTACCCATAATCCTCAGCTATCGTTTGGGACTACAGTCCCGTTGACAAACCCTGTGATTAATCTTCAAGCTCTGGGATTGGATGTTGGAGTGGCAGTGCGCCAAGGTTACGCCGAACGTCAAACAGCTCTTTGAACTCGAACAAAACCACGGCAGACTGTCCAAAACTGGACTCGAACGCCCCCCCAGAACTACACATGCTGGCTATTGTGTTTCGCAGATGGGTTTTGCAACATGTTCTATGGCACGTCTCTACTGGGAATTGTAGTTTTAAAAGACGTTTTCGTTTTTCCCACAATTAGAAGTTGCCAGTATTAAACTGTGTACACCCCTGGAGGTTTAGGCGATAGGAAACACATTGGTGTGTACAAATTTAAAACATGTAATTAATAAATGGGTGAAAATCGCTTGTATCCATAATGGGCAGCATTAATATATACCCAAATGACAGCTCATTGTTACTTTGTAATTCTACTCCACTACAATTCAGAGGTTAACCTGGTATTTTTACTCCACTACATTTATTTTAGTTACTTTGCAGATTCTGATTAATGATGTGAAATATAAACAACCCTTAAAGCAGACTTTAGTTACACCTGAACTATGTTGAAGTTATGCAATGAATGAAAAACTTGGGTCACAGCTTCCTCAACAGTGCATTACAAGACATCTATCAATATGTGTATATACCTCCACCATTAAACTGTCAAATTCTGCACATTTCTTATAATATCTACATACATTAGAGTACAATTAATGTGTATAATATCAGTTAAAATAAGTGCTTCAACATAGGCAGGAAAGCAATATATTAGACGTTAAGTACTTTGTCAGGCTTAATATTTATGTGTAGATACCCTGTTGTAGCAAACACTGTGGATGGTGGCTTAGAGCCCCCCTCTGCTACGCGCCGTTCGTTAGATGAGGCTGGTTATATTTAATATAGAAGGAATTCAAAACACCGGAATAAAGGTTATAACAATAATCTGATTTTACTGGTAAGAAACAAAACACGTATACAAGTTTACAGAGTACTCCGGACTTCAGGTTCTACTGCTGTGCGATACAGGTATCGGGACCAGCCAGTCAGCAACAGGAAGCATTTTACATACATAAACAACAGTATTCATATCCATTATTTTGGGGCGGAGATGTGTCGACTCTTCCTTCCCATTTTACTCCGGAGCGAATCAGAGAGTCCGTGGGGAGGAGCTGTGTGAGCTGCTCACTCCCCCAGGTGTTTTTACTGGTTGGATTCACTTCTGGTCGGGTCCAATACAGCGAATCAGAGTTCTGAGAAAAAGTATGTTTTCTTCTGAGCAGAGCGTGAGATTCGGAAGTACACAAGGACAGAGTCAATCTTATCTCTGCGCCTGTATTCACTCCTTTACTTTCCCAAGGAATATTTCACACAAACTATTCTTTCCCAGACAACCAAACATTGTACACAGATATATTGATGCCCAGAAAGGACCTTAAAAAGAATATGTGTGTGTGCAGGTGGGAGGAGGTGTATGTGTGTGAAACAGGATCTCTGGGTCAGTGAGTTGTAAGTGAGAAAGACAATATATATATAGGATTACTTAAAACAGTTCAAACAATACATGTTCACTAAAATACAATTCAAAATAATACATGTTTACTTCAATACAGTTTAGAACCATATCTGTTTACTTTAACCCCAAAAGCTTTTTTCTTATTTAAAAGAAGACCTTAACCTAAAGTATTCTTTAATGTGTTTGTCTGTTTTGCACATCCTCATATTAATATCTTTGTACATCCGGCACTAAACTGTTTTATTGTAGAGATCACTTACAGTATCTTCTTGATTTTTTATATTCTATATTTCTATCATTGACCTTCTACTTTCCCCCTATTTTGTATGTACTCTTATTAATATTTGTTTCATCAAATAACATTATTCAACAAAAATAACATTATTCAACAAAAATAATTCAATAACGTGCTTTAACCACTAGGCGGTGCACACAAGGTACACACAGCATACTAATAATAACTTTGCATTATTGGTGTAGGACACCTATGTATGTATAACATCTGAAGATGTGTAGTTTTATTCATGTTTTCACATAATTTTACAGGATATTGCTATACTATTTCTCATGTTTTACTTCTACACATTAATATCTGATTTGTAAAACATCACAGACAGAAAGGTATATCCGTCATTTAATGGTAAGCTATTGAAATTGTGATTCCATAGATGTGTCTACCATCACCCAAATCCCCTGACTATTCTCTCAACTCAGTATTTACATTCTTATATTCAAAGAAAATCAGTAATATCTTTAAAAACTACAAGTCCTTTTCTATCAGCTGTGCACCGTTATGGTGTAAATATAACCTATCTACCAATTGGATCAAATATAAAAGTCAGCCGAATTAATGTTGATACTGCAAGGAGACGTATTGTGTGAAAAGAAATGGAAGATGTTGTTTAATTGCTGATATATTTATGATCCACGTCACGTTTTCAGTTTCCGTGGCTGTTCTTCCTGTTTGTCTAGAAGTCTTCTCATCAGGGCTCTATAAATAAAGAACTAAGGCAGATGTGTAATATTTAATGCAGCCGAACCGTGTATTACAATGCCGTTATGTGATGACTTCCAAAGAGAAAAGCAAGCACACTCGGAATAAAGTGTTATTTTCTTTTTTTAAATGTTTTTCGGATTTCATATCGCATTAACACCATATCCCAACGTGCATTGCGGCTAAACAATCCAATCACGAGCTTCTAGCTGAGGATCTTGGGTAATCAGTTCAGTGGGTTTGTGGTGTGTATCGCAATGACGCTCGAAATGTCACTTATAGGCCTACGTCTGTTTCCGGTGACTTTATTTTGAAATTCAGTTCCTGAGGAACGGCTAAAAAGCCCGAGATTATAGAATTAAACGAATAAATACAAACAAGGATAATTGTGTGTTATTGTTGACTAAATAACAGTGTGTTATTCAGAAAATAATAACAAATTAGAAGGAAAAAAAGATTAAAGAAATACAGATTTCATTATTCTGAGGCTCCGAGCCCCATTTCTTTTACTCACAGACGGCAAAAAAAGTCTGACATTATACGATTTAAAATAAAAACAATATTGCTTGATATTGAGTAAGAACATGGTTGCGGTCGAATAGTCCATTTAGCTTAGGAACCTTCCTAACGGAGTGAAATGACCCGGAAGTCCCTCAGTGGCAGCCATGATAAGTGCCGTTCGAATTCTCTAAATGAAAGGAAAGGAGGTTTCAAACTTCCTTTATAACCTCCTTTAGCTTAGGAACCACTGGACCTCCCTAACCTAAAGGAGAGGAGAAAATGCTGCCCCACAATGCCTTGCGGCCGCGGCATTTGCCGTCACACAACAGTCGGCCGTTCACGGAAACAACCGATTATGAACGAGTAATTATATCATGAAAGTTACGGTGCTTATTAAGCATTTTAAAACGTATGTGGTAAGTTGCCAAAGTGCTTTGTTTTGAACGTTCATCAGTATAATAATCAAAAAGAGAAATATGAACGTTAGTTTTTACTGAAATGATCAAATAAAGTCAACATTTCACAGTCTTTACTGAGCTGTGTGGGGTTTGTTCAACTTTTAAAATATGTTTGAATGGTGATATACACAGTGATAGATGTTAAGGACTAACGTTTATAATAAATACATTTGTATTGATTTTAAGATATTTTAAGATATTTTCATACAATCATACGTAGGTTATTGGGATCATTTGTATTAATGTGGACCGGAGGGAGAGGGTGACGAGCATAAGTTTCACTTTCCTTTTTTATTTCAATTCCAACTTTGGTCATGAAGAATATGTTTCTCTGTTGTCCCCGTTCATAAAGCATAAAACAACAGCATCAGAGCACGGTGCAGAGTCTCTAGATGAGTTTACAGTAGTCCCTCGTTCTTATTAAACATCCATGTTCTAGTCCGCTGTATAGAAAACTGTAGTTTCCATAGTTTCCCCACAGACGCACATTTATGACCTCCGCTGGCGCATCATAAACACGTTGGATAGTGAAAGGATTCTCTAAAGTACCGCAGTCTCTTCTCCTAAATCCTTTTGAATTCTCCTATCCACTATCCCTTAACCCCGTGACGTTTCACTCAGAGGTCAAGGAATAGACGATAGGGTTAGAACTTAGGAGCTGATTTTTGGACTATTCGACCGCAACCATGTTTTTATGAACCACACAGCTTCCGGTCTACCAAGATCCGACCGGACAAAACGTGGCGTATCATATGCACGCAAAACTCGGCCTCAGAACACAATGGGAATGGTTAGCGTATCATATGCACGCAAAATCGGACTTCTGTGTATCTATTGCACGCATTTCCAATGTGTAAAGTCGTGTCATTTGTACGCAGACTGAAGAGAGTGGGTTGGATAAAACTGTCCCTGAGTCTGGTAGTTGTTTGAATTTTTTATTTATTGCTTTTATTTCACCTCAGGTCGCTTATACGTGACGTTTGAAATCACCATGCCTCTGAGAATAGATGGACTAACTGGATCCTGTGTGAAGGTCCCCTGCACTTTCGACTTCAACTCAAAGTTTGATGGAGATCTGGATAATTCTTGCAAAGCAATTTGGATCAGAGGAAGCACGTCCGGAACATTTGTGTTTGATTCCGACCTCACTGGAGATCAGGCAAGCGGAAACATCACAGGGAACCTGCAGAACAAGGAGTGCACCACCATCTTCTACAACATGCCACTGTCCCATTCTGACAACTACTACTTCAGGATTCAGTGTAATAACAGTCTGATTGCCACCTATCCAACAGGAGTCCGTATCACCACTCAAAGTTTGTATTGTGTCTTTTAATTTTTTCACTTTATACATCTTTTGGTTTCCCTCTTGTCATGTACTTGTTTTTTTTACTCCTCAGATTCACTGGACCAACCTACCATAACTCCATCTACACTGGAGGTAGAGGAGGGGGCTCTGGTGACGTTGAACTGCATGGCTGTAGCTCCGTGTCCCATCCTTCCCCCAGATCTGACTTGGACCCCCAGGATAGGTGACATTGAGGAGAAACATGAATCTGAATCCATGGTCTCTGTTATGAACTTCACCTCTTCTTACCTCCACAATGGACAGAATCTTTCATGCACCGCTCTCTACAAACCACAAGCTGGCAACACCGACCTTCGGTTTGAAAAGTTTATGACCCTCCATGTTCTTTGTGAGTATGTTTCAGGCCTTTTGTTGCTGAGTAGGATTTGGATTTAGCTGACATTTAATCATTCCCTTCATTTGATATAATGTGATGTTATGAAATGTTCCTCTGGGGACTCTGCAGAGTATTTGGATCAAGTTGTGTTAACTAAAACTGCAGACTTGATTATTTAGTGGGGAAAAAGGGGACACTAAACCAAAGTCATTTATGTGCTGACTTGACTTTATTCTTATTTATATTATTTAAAGGTCACCTATCATGCAAAAAGCACTTTAAGATGTCTTTAAAGGTCACCTATCATGCAATATTTAGGCAATAGCATAGGTCTCAGATATATACAAATGTATAAAAAACATGTCTATGAAGTGTTTTGCTCAAAATACCTAACAGATCACCCATTCTAGCCATGCCTCATATCCCTCTATTTCACTTCCTGTTACTAAAGTGCTGATTCGGGGTATAAAGCTTTACAAAAAAAAAGAGGGGGCAGAGCTTATGCCTGCTCATACGGGACCCGGCAGATACTGTCTAAAATAAATGCTGCGGTGATGAAACGCCAAAACCACATCAAGGATTATTTCTGAAACATTATGGAGCAAAGGCTTTCTCTCTTGCTGGTTTACCACAAGGTGAGTTCCTTTTGATTTCCTGCTTCTTCACACATGTGCTCTCTCCAGCACTGGTTAGCTCTGAGTGTTAGCGATGCTTGCTAATGTAAACAAGACCATATTACGTCCAAAACACCAGCCATCCGATATGACGTAAATAACGTCTCACCTTGTGGTAAAACTGTGAGAGAAAAAGCATTTGAGTTCCATACTGTTTCAGAAATATCGTTAGCGTAGCACAGCACAAAGACTGGCAACAAGTGGAAAAACTAGCCTGGCTCTGTAAAGGTAACAAAAACAACTTACTAGTTTTTCAATCATCTCTTCCAGATCCTCCAAAGAACACATCAGTCAGCTACTCTGCTACAGCAAAAGAGGGCAGCTTGGTGAATCTGACCTGCAACGTCAATGCCAATCCAGCTGTTTACACTTGGTACAAAGTGAATGGAGGTCTGATGTGGGTTCGGGGAAAAGGTTTTCCACCACTGTCTCAGAAGTTGACAGACACTTTTACTGTAAAGTCAGTAACAGATACGGAACCCAGAACTCATCCATCACTCAGATAGACGTACGATGTAAGTCTGATTAAAAAAACAGTCACACAGAGGATAAATATTGACCGGCAACATTTTAAAAGATATTTTTTTTTTTTTACTTAGTTCCTCCCAAGGAAACTACAATAATCATTGAGCCTAGAGGTCCACTTTTGGAGGGCAGCTCTGTTTCTCTGCTTTGTAAAAGCCGGGCCAACCCACCTGTAACCAACTACACCTGGTACAAAGGTGATGAAGAGGAAAAGGAGGCTGGATCAAGTTTGGTTTTAAACGATGTCAAACCAAGCAGCAGTGGTGACTACTACTGTGCGGCAATAAATGAGCATGGGGACCAAAATTCAACACTGATTCGGCTGGACATTCAGTGTAAGTTGATTTTTACAGTAAAGACATTGATTTACACTGTCAAGTTCAACAGACTGAATATGGCTCTACTGTATATCCAGCTTTGGTCACCCAAACATGGTCTCTGAGGCCAAGACTGACAGTCACAGGGCAACACCACAGTGTCTGGACTATGGACAGTAACACATTGTCACATTGCGTGACAACCTCAAAATCATTTCTATGTCAGTCGTCCGTCATGACACATGAGTGAGTTCTGTTGATCACCCACGTGTTCCTGTGTGTTAAAGGTCACCTAGTATGCAAAATGCACTTTTTTATGTATTTTATACATAAATATGTGTCTACGGTGTGTAAGGAGACTAAAATGTGGGCTGGCTTTATATTGAACTTATATTCAACTGGCAACGTTCCGCCTACGTCCCAACCTACATTCCCCATATACAGTCGGCTAGCTGTGTGTCTGTGTATTCAGCAGGATGGGAGGGACTTAGAGTAAAGTTGTTATATATAATATATATGTAATACATATTGGGCACTGTTCTAGCGGTAAACACTGAATAAAGAACATGGCAAGCTATGTGCTGTATATATCAGAAACAATGTGTGACGTATTTTGGAAGTACAGTAATATGGTCTGTGTTTACATTAGCAAGCATCGCTCAATAACAAAATAACACTCAGAGCTAATGCTGCACTGGAGAGAATATGTGTAAAGAAGCCGGATATAAAAGGTACTGTCCTTGAGGTAAACCCGCAAGAGAGAAAGCGTTTGAGCTCCATACTGTTTCAGAAATATTGCCTAATGTAGTTTGGAACATAATATGGCGTTTAATCAAGGCAGCGTTCAGCTGAGTTTCTGCGGTTAGACAGCCTTCTCTTCACAGAGCTCACCGCTTGCATGCAGACGCTCCAAAGGGGCGTGGCCAGCAGCAGCTCGGTTACATTTAAAGGGCCAGATCCAGAATCAGCACTTTTGTAACAGGGTTGAAATAGGCCCCATAATATATTTTTCAAATATTGCATTACGGGCAGCCCCACCTAGTGTCAGCAGAAAGTATTACAAATAATGATTACAAAAATGCAAAAAAAAAAAAAAAAAAATATATAAAATATATTTTAAGATCATGTTTAATCATCTGATTCGTCTGTACATTGCTGTTTTAGTCTGTGTTCTTCTAATTAGTGTGTCTACAGTCACAGTGTGTGCCTATTGAGCTGTTTAGAGCCATGTGGGACAAAACCTGATTATGCCCCTTCCTCTCGCTGTGAAGTGAACGTGACTGTAAAAACTACACTGCGCATGCTCAGAGTATTTTGTAATGTAATGTGTGTGGCAAAAAAATAATGACCAGAGGGGCACGGAGCTACCATCCCCACCATACGTCATCTCAAATCATTCAGAGCTGATTGGCTGTAAGTACGTGTGCCGCGAAAAGTGTGCTGTGTGAAGAGGGGACGAGAGAGCTGCAGTGGCGCGTCCTAAAACCAGGAAGTAAGCACAAAAAAGCAATGAGATTTCTCCAGAGGATTTTAGAAAATAGCTCAAAATAAGATCTGTGGGAAACGTACCTGTTAGATAAATGCACGTTTTGATTAGCCGGATAACATCCACATGTCTACCCTACTTTTATAATTTTTTTATCATAAATCTATGGATTAGATTTATGATAGACTTTTGAAACTACAAGAAGATAAGGAGGACTTTTACAAAAAAGTAATAGAAATGTTTGTCCAGAAGGATAGGCAAATGGACTTCATCTTCAAGTCAAGGTAAGACCGCAATTTTATTGAAAATGGGATCTTACTAAGAGAGAACAATTCAATATTTAAATGATAAAATTACATTTTTTGGGTATCCTTTTGTTGAACTGTCTGTTTAAAATTAATCGAAGCATCAGACAAAAAAAGCTTTTGAAAATAATATTATATTTTGGTTTAGGTCAAAATATAATATTTGTAAACCTGAAGAGTCAGTGCCAGTGCCTCACCAGCCATGAACCTCACTGCACGTCACTGCAGAAGCTTATATATAGACATCTAAGTTTTTGTGCCCCACCACTTTTGTACATATAAAAACGCCACTGATTACGGGTGAGCTTTAAATCATGAGGATTTTGTGTTTGGTTTCTTTTCTTTTGTTTTATTATTAAGATGTCATTTCCAAACACAGAGAATGAAGAGGTTGTTGTCTCAGTTTTCCAAAAAAAGGCCACTCAAATTGAATTCTTTTTTACATAGACTGTGATTCCCAAAGATTCTTGAACCATTGGTGGTAAGCAAGACAGTTGCACGCCAACGGCCCTAAATCCTTAACTTAAAACCATGACATTCTTTTTTATTTTGAAGTGACTGACATGCATGAACTAGTAACGTCAGCTACACACTATCCTTTTCAGATCTCCCTAAGAACACCTCGGTGTCTGTTGACCCCTCTGGTCCGGTGCAGGACGGCAGCTCTGTAACTCTGACCTGCACAAGCATCGCCAATCCAGCAGCAGTGAATTTCACCTGGTTCAGAGCGGCTGGAATAGAGGTGAAGGTGATGGGCTCTGAGAGAGACCTCACCTTCAATGTGACCAAACTCTCAGAAGATCAGTATTACTGTGAAGCTCTGAATGTCCACGGACCTGGCACCTCAGAGCGTGTCAGCTTTGACGTCACATGTGAGATTAATACACTTGTTTAATTAAAGGCAATCCTTGGTTACCATTAAACAAAATTAAATTAATGATTTGTCTCAGTTCCTCCAGAGATCCTGTCTTCTTCCCGTTGCATCAAGATTTCATCCATGATCCGATGTTCCTGCTACAGCCAGGGGAACCCGCCTCCCTCCCTGGTTTGGAAGTTGGCCGGAGAGCCTGTCACTCACTCTGCTGCCATCCCAATCAGGGAAGAGTCCCTGGGGAACGTGGGCATGAAGAGCATCATCACCCTGTACGATCTGGACGAAGATGCGCTCTCTCTAGTCTGCCTCAGCATCAACTCACTGGGTTCTGACAGTTTTGCTTTTAACATGTCGCTTAGCAAAGGTAGAGGAATTGCGAGATGGTGAATTTGTATTTGTTTGGTTTTTCTGCATAATCTGCCTCTCTGGTTTTAATGATCATTGTGTTTTGTGGGGACTTTTCAGGCCTCCACTCTTTGTCTTTTGGGATCGGTTTTGCAGTGGCAGCTCTGGGCATGCTGCTGGTGTGTGTACTGCGGCTGCTAATCTACTACCGGTGAGAGACAACCTTTTTTTTCAAAGCTGGTTTTAAAATAATTGTAAACACATTTTGAGGTTGTCATCAGGGGTGTAACTTGACTGGTGACCAGGCTGGCAGCACATTTAAGCAGTATAGCCATGGCCACCTCAGAACATTGCTAAATATCACCATGAAATGAAAGACTTTAATAGAAGATTATAACAAGTGTGTGTTACTTTTAGGAAAGGAAAGGTCATCTCTTCCTCGGACAAGGGAAAGGCGGAGACATGCAACCCTGTAGATACTAATGAGGTGAGTTCATGTTTGCACATATCGGTAGATGCATTAAAACAGGAAGCTTCACTTACCCAACAAAATGTACTTTTTGCTTTTAAAACAGCGGTGAAAGTTGTCTCAAAAAGTCGTTACATACTATGTCAAAAAGGCATTGTATGGTATGTTTAAAAACTTTTATTTTTAAAACTCATGATATAGTATGTTCTACAAAGTCATTGTCATCTATATAATGCCTTCAAAAGTATTTGTTTTGTATGCCATGATGAATGTCAAAATAATCAGTCAGTAATCAGTAAAGCATGCAGAACAAAGTGCTTTAGAACATGGTTCATATGAATAAAAACTGAAATATAATGCAAAGATAATAAAAAATAAGAAGTTAGTAAAACACAATAGATACAAGTGAAAGTATATAAAAAGCTAACATGAGATGAAAAATGAAACCTAATTAATAATCATACTAATCATAATAATAGAAAAAAGAGCACCAAAGGTCATAAGTCCAACTTAAGTTTGTGGAAAAAAGCCCTTAAAGAAGTCCGTCAGGTATGCCATAAAAATGTAAAAAGTTGCAGTATAGTATGTTATAAAAGTATTTCAGAATAGACTGGTGCAGTGACGCGTCCTAAAACCCGGAAGTAAGCTGCGCATGGGTACCTTCCGGTTCCCTCGACAAAAAAGCAATGCAATTTCTCCATAGGATTTTGGACAATAGCTCGAAATAAGGTCTGTGGTTGACACACATTTAAGACACGGATCACGTTTTGTTCAATTCAACGTTTTTTTTATCATAAATCGAATCGATAGATTGATGATCGATGATCGAAATTATAAAAGTAGGGTAGACATGTGGAGATTATCCGACTGAACAAAACGTGATCTGTCTCTTAAATGTGTGTAGCCTAAGTTTCCTGTCCCTAGTGGCACCCAGTGTTGTCTTCTGCTGCTGTCGCCCATCTGCATCAAGGTTCGACGTGTTGTGCGCTAAGAGATGGTCTTCAGCATACCTTGGTTGTAACGAGTGGTTATTTGAGTTACTGTTGGCTTTCCATCATCTTTAACCAGCCGGGCCATTCTCCTCTGACCTCTGGCATCAACAAGGCATATTTTCGCCCAGGGAACTGGATTCTTTTTTTTCCGGACCATTCTCTGTAAACCATACAGATTGATTTGCGTGAAAATCCCAGTAGATCAGCAGTTTCTGAAATACTCATGGCAGCAACCATGCCACGTTCAAAGTCACTTAAATCACCTTTCCTCCCCATTCTGATCATCTGTTTGAACTTCAACAGGTCGTCTTGACCATGTCTACATCCCAAATGCTTTGAGTTGCTGCCTTGTAATTGGCTGATTAGATATTTGTGTTACAAAGCAGTTGAACAGGTGTAACTAATACATTGGCCAGTGAGTGGAACCTTTTATTCTGCTTCTGGGAAGGTAATGACAGAACTTAGCGGGAGTAAAAAAAAGAAGATTGAAATGAACTATTGTTATAAAAGATTTATCTTATATTATAATAATAATAATAAAGCTTTATTCATATATCACTTTTCGTAGAGCAGGTGCAGCTGAAAGTGCTTTACCAAATGGCACACATCACAAATGATGTATGTGGATTTAGCCGTAGAGAGAGTGTCCTTGTAATGAAGAATGTGGTTATTGTACATTTCTTTGTGAATAACAAGTCCAGTTTTTTTGAAGAGGTGTTCCAATCAATAGCCTTTAGCTTTTAGTTGACAAATACGTCCGTATCCTGTATATTTGTTTTGATAAATTACATTTTAATGAATTATGTTTTTTGAAAATGTATATGGGTTTTATATGCAAACAAATTAAGGCATACATTGTCATGAATGCACTATTAAATGTTTATTCATAAAAAGTTTGTTCTAATTTGCTCTTTTTTCAATTTAAACCTGTATTTCCAACTTAATAACAACAATGACACACCAATTTCTGCATTTTCTTTGATTCATATTTAGATATTGCAATGTGCTATTTAGGCTCTTTGCACATACAGTAGGTTGTAAATAGTTTCATAATGTCCAGTCGTCCCTATTTTTAGTTATGCTTATTGTCGTCTCAAGATATGTGTCAGTTTTACTGAGTTTTCCCTCTCCTTGCGTCCACTTAAAATCAATCCAACACCATGACACAATTCCATCTGATTAATGATAAAAACCTAGAGGACATTATACAACATCTGAAGTCCTCCTCCTGCTGCCTTGATATTATAACAACAGGCTTTTTCCCAAATGTTTTTCATTGCATGGCCTCAGATCTACTTCATATAGTAAACAAGTCTCTTCACTCTGGTGTATTTCCTCAGGCCCTGAAAACTGCAGTCATTAAACCGCTCTTAAAACATAATAACCTAGGCACTTCAGTAATGACTGCTTCGATGTGTTCAAGTCAGGCTTTCGTCTGCACCACAGCACTGAGACTGCTCTTGTTGAGGTCTTGAATGACATCCACTTAAACACAGACCTTGGCAGAACTTCAGTGTTAGTATGATTAGATCTCAGTGCTGCATTTGACACAGTTGACCACACAATATTACTGTTCCAAATGGGTTTGAATCCTACTTAAAAGACAGGAACATTTTTGTTTCTATAGGTAAATACGCATCTGAGATGACAAATATGACATGTGGGGTACCTCAAAGCTCCATCTTGGGCCCTATTCTCTTTAAAATCTATATACTATATTAATATAATCAAAAACAACAAAATAAGTTACCATTGCTATGCAGATGACACACATTTACATAACCATTTCACCAGGAGACTATGCTCCAATTCAAACACTGAGTAAGTGTATTGAACAAATCAATGGCTGGATGTGTCAGAACTTTCTTCAATTAAACAAAGATAAACCTGCGGTAATTGTTTTTGGAGTCAAGGAGGAACAAATAAAAGTCAGCACTGAGCTTCAGTCTGCAATGTTCAAAACAACAGATAAAGCCAGAAATCTAGGTGTAGTCATGGACTCTGACTTGAATTTCAACAGTCACATTAAAACAACTACTAAGTCAGCCTACTATCACCTTAAGAATATATCTAGGATTAAAAGACTAATATCGGGTTGGTAAAACTTGTCCATGCTTTTATCTTTGACCTGTCTTTACAGGTCTCTCTAAAAATAAATGAGAAAGCTGCAGCTTATTCAGAACGCCGCTGCTCGAGTCCTCACTAACACTAAGAAAGTGGATCACCACATCACTCCAGTTTTGAGGTCTTCACACTGGCTTCCTGTGTGTGAAAGAATTGATTTAAAAAATACTGCCGCTGGTTTAAAAAGCATTGAATGGTTTAGGGCCAACATACATTTCTGACCTCCTGCTACATTATGAACCATCCAGATCTCTCAGGTCTTCTGGGACGGGTCTGCTTTCTGTCCCCAGAGTCAGAACTAAACATGGAGAAGCAGCGTTCAGTTATTATGCTCCAAATATCTGGAACAACCTACCAGAAACCTGCAGGTCCGCTGCAACTCTTACTACTTTTAAATCCAGGCTGAAGACTTTTAATTGAACTATTCATATCTTGCACTAACTTTTATTCATGTATTTCTTATGTTTATTTTATTATCTTTGCTTTTTAATAACTGTTTTTAAATGCCATTTTACAATGTGTTTTCATTGAACTATTTCTTAATGCTCCTAATGTCTTTCATTTTTGTAAAGCCCTTTGAAATGCCTTGTGTTGAAAGGTGCTGTAAATAAACTTGCCTTGCCTTGCCTTACTGTAACAGATAAGAATATCAATATAAGGCTTTGACCTCATGTTTCAGACGCTTAACCACTTCTGTCTTTCTTACTGCCAAATGAAGCTCAGCGTAAGTTCAACCAGGAAGACCGTCTTTACTCTTCATTTACTATTCCCATGTAACTACTCTCTCTCCTCTCAATTTGTGCTCGGGGGCGTCACTCTCCAGCTTAACCAATCACTTCGCTCTATTCCCAAGAGCCTATAGCGCTCTGCCAAACCTTTTAAATCTGCTCTCCCCCCTCTGACAGCTGTCATTTCAGGTGACTCTACGCAACCCTCCTCTTCCCCTTTTCACCTCCTGTCCCTCTGAATCCAGGGTCAAGCTAAACCACTCCTCTTCAGACCAGTGTTAATTTTGGCAGCTGTTTTTGATTTAGTCTTAGTCTTAGTCTTTAGACGAAAATGGTTATTAGTTTTAGTCACATTTTAGTCATTTCTATCCTTCATAGTTTTAGTCTAGTTTTAGTCGACGAAAACTCAAAACGTTTTAGTCTAGTTTTAGTCGACGAAAACTCAAAACGTTTTAGTCTACTTTTAGTCGATGAAAAATTACATTTTAGTCAACTTTTAGTCAAAATGTTTTCTCTCTTTAAACCAATTCAGTTAGGCAAATACAGGTATCTGACATTGTAATCAAGGTGACAGCATCAAGTGTTGAAATTCGTAAAGCAACATTTCACTCTCTTAACACTTTACTTGTGTAATATCTAGGGATGGGTATCGTTAAGGTTTTCTACGGTACTACTAGTCTTATCAATACTGCTTATCGATCCGGTACTTTAACGGTATTCTTGTATTTACTTTTTGTTATTTTTTAAAGGAAAAAACTAACAAATTGTTAACCGAATTAATTGCTTTATTTAAATGTGAAATAAATGAAATATATATATAATTATGTTAAAATATTGTACTGTACTTGAGTAAAATGTTGAGGTACTTGTACTTTACTGGAGTATTTAAATGTTTTGCTACTGTGTACTTCTACTCCACTACATGTATTTAATACATTTAGTTACTTTACAGATGTGGATGAATGATGTGAAATATAATCAAGTGTTAACTCAGACTTTAGTAAATTCACAAGCTACCCTGCAGTATACAAAGTCCTTCAAACTAGCTGCACCTTTACTAGCTTTGAGAACACTTTAATGATCAATCATTATAAAACATATCATATATATTATTCTGAAATGGACCAATCTGCACAATGACTACTTTTACTGTAGCTACTTTAAATATATTTTGATGATCATACTTTGACTTGAGGAACTCTTCCTACACTATGGTATTTTTTTACTTAGCTACAAGATCTGAGTACTTCTCCCACCTCTGCACACCTGATGTGATAACGTTACTCGTAATTGGGGCAACAGAGCTACGAGTTAAGGAAGTCGAAAATTGTGCATTTCTCCGACTGAATATGACGCCTTTTGGCCGGCTGTTTGGACAGACTACTCTACTCGTGTCAACGCGCTAACGCGAAAACATGGCAAACGAGCTTTGTCCACATCGAGTCTTGTAGAGTGTCTCTATACTCTCTGAACGCTCCGTCCCCGGCAGATCTCTGTGTGCCGCTGCAGCGTGTCTGTTAGGCCCCGCCCCCGCACACAGAGAGAGAGGGAGATCGCTCTTCTGGAGTGAAGAGAGCGGAAATAATGATATTGCAAGTTAGAAATGTAAGATGCATTTTGACAGACAAGACGGACACTTGGGGGGAAATACCCTGCATTTTGAATGTCCGATAGTCCACCATTAACACCTTAGTCCCGTCTCGTCTCGTCAACGAAAACTAAATATACATTTCGTCAAATTTTTGTTATCAAGAATCTATTTTTAGCTCGTCATCGTCTCGTCTTAGTCATGTAAAAAAGGTCGTTGACGAACATTTTTCGTCATAGTTTTCGTTGACGAAATTAACACTGCTTCAGACCGACCCAACTATCCATTCACCACCACCAGTGTCTAGACCCCAGGGGGGTTTCATCGGATCGGTTCTACCCTCCCGAATGATACTTCCTGCACAACGGGGCCTAATCGCCAAAATCACCATTACATTCATTGTGTATCTCTGCAATAAATATGTATTCTTACATCAAAACCGTCTTTCCTGATTGAACTGACATCAGTGCTGTTTTGAAAATCAGCGTAAAGTTTGTAACATTACTTTCTTGCTGTGATTCTAGAAAAATCCCAGCACAAATACTTGTATGTCAAACACCAAGTTTATGTGTTTTAAGAAACAAACTAATTCACTTTTCCTTCATCGTGTTCATCTCTGCATAGCTCCTAAATGTGGCTGCTCAGTAAAGTTCAGAAATAGTTTCTGCCCACTGGCAACTAGTTAGGTAAAGTCTTTATACTTCACTTTGTTTTCCCTTATATTCACTTCAACTTGACTGTTTCATTTATGACACTTTATGACTTCTACTGTTTATGCATGTAAAGTATCACATTGTTGTTTCTTCCCTCTTTCTGTATTGCCTTTCATTTTGATTCTCTTCACTTCCTCTTTGTTTCAAAAAGACAAAATGATCTGATGAAACAGTTGAGTACTTGAGTGTGGAAACAAATGTCATTTTTGTTATCTTTTTTTGTTTGTTGAATATGTAAATCAACAACTCACTTTTGAAAACACATTTATATTTTATAATAAAATTCTGGTTTGGAACATTGTTATGTGAATCCCTTAGAAAATGACTGATGGGACTTGCATCTAGTAAAAAGAGATTAAAAACTCTATTGTGCTGAAGGCCACACCCCGGACACATCTTTCAAAAGCCATCAACACGCGACACCAGTCTGACATGACTCAGTTGTTGGACTATTACCACTGACCCTTCCATGCTGGTGAAACCTTTATTTGTTTCTTTATCCATTTCTGAAACATAGATCAGTACTGTATATACTACTACTACTAATTAGACCCTCCAGAAAAACGCGATTATGCGATCGCATAATTTACCGCATAATCAACAAAATAGCGCATATTTTTAAAAGGCCGCATATTTCTTAAAAGGTCGCATAATCCCTGCATTTTTCCACACAAAATTGAGGGAAAAAAAAGTTAACGTGAAGTAGTGATGTCATCAGCTCGCGCAGGTAAACAACACCGTAGAGTGAATGTGTGGAACTCACACGAGAGAGAAAAGCAACAAGATCAGCGCCATATAGATTATTATATAGCCTACTATTATACTATTATTATTATATACTATTATAATTATACTATTATACGGCTCTGACCAAGATGAACAAATCGAATCCATCCCATTTGCCTACGAACATTTCTGCTAAAGACCGGGCAAAGCAGTACGCAGATGTCTTGCACGAAAGTGGGGGGAAACTATTCTGCACCCCGTGCAACTGTGTGTTGGAACATACAAGATTGAAGCTGGTCAGATAACGAACGGGTAAATGAAAACAGAATGAGGCCCCGGCTCCACGAGGACGGAAACTGGTTGAATCCGCATATTTCTCATGCGTATAGCCCTCTAAGCTCCACGACGCCGTAAGGGAAACGTAGAAACAGACCCCGCAAACGACAACGGGTCCAAAGGTGGATAGATCTGGGAACGGAGCGCTCTGGGGGGTCCAACGGGGCCGTGGAGTCGCCTATACGGTCATTCGTTTTCATAGCCCCGCCTCTCCCTGCCTCTCCCCCGCGGGGTTGCTATCGTGCTCCAGTCGCTACTGACCATGCTACAGTTCTTTGTGCAACATCTACAGGAGCTCCTCCTTGAATTCAGATTATTTATCTTTATCTCGATATGGACATAAACGCGAGTGAAGTCTAATCTGACAGGACGGAGACACGCAGCTCCTGCCGCTGTGATGCAGCGGGAGCAAAACACACACTTCAAGTCAGATCATCACCCTTAGCTATTTTAATTACCTCTCAAACTACCTAAACTAGTTATAAATATGTTTATTTTTACTGTCGGGTCACTCATTACTGGATCAGCTGCTGCATGAGACAGACACTGACGCTGTCAGAAGAGAGGAAAAAGAGATGTATTTGATGATTATATATCATTATATCGTCGTTATTCATTTGTTTTAAAGCTCAATAAATAACAATGAAGACCTTTGACCGGCACTTTTATAATTTTGTCCGGAAGATTTAAACTTTAACACACGTTGACCGGCGAAAAACTCTGCCCGGTTCTGTCGGCCCCCACCGCGGAGAATACACAGAAGTGCAGTCATGACAACCATTCTTCTTCTTCGCTGCTTTTGTGGAGGAAGTTGCTGCTTTTGTGGAGGAAGTTACAGCGCCACGTACAGGTTCGGCATATGTACTGCAGCTTTTCCAGCGTTTGGATGTAAACGGAGCCGTCTCGTGGAGCTTGACACAATCCGGTGTATATTGCGTGGGGACGGAAGGTTTTTTGCGGTTGCATTTGCGTTACTCCGATGCGTTTTGCCGTATTTGTCCTCGTGGAGCCGGGGCCTGAGGCGGAGGTGTGTGTGTGTGTGTGTGTGTATCATAGGAACTCTTTAAAAGGGCTTCCTTTCATTCAGTAGTAGCCTAGTAACAGGGTGTGGGAAAAGAATCACCTTTTTTCCGCCTCCCGCATATTTCGCAACTTTTCGCATATTTCCGCATATTTCGCAACTTCTCCGCATATTTCGCATAAAAACCCCGCATGTTTAATCGCATAATCAAGAATTTTAGCCCGCATAATCAAGGATTTTAGCCCGCGTTTTTCTGGAGGGTCTAACTAATGTATTTATTTCTTCTCTAGAAACAGAAAATATCGTATGCTGACCATCATTGTTGGCTGTAAGGTAAGATAATTGTTTTTGAAAACTCAAATGATTGCAAGTCATAAAATGTCAGGCTTTTTTTATTAGTTAATTCAGTCATTTTGTTACATATATATATATGTATGTTGTTTGTTAGTGGTAAGAATAATTTACATACCTTTAAAGAAGTTTTGTATTTGTTTTATTACTTTCTACATAAAAGGTTTTGCAAAGCATATGCAAAACATTTAAAAAAGTTATCATTAGTTAACATCTTCATGCTAGCTCCCTTATATTATCTTTGAAAGGACGACATTATTTCCCCTTTTTAGTGATGAAACCAGTAACACTAAGAGTACATTGCAATACAAGTTAAAGCAATAGTTTAAAAGTATTACATTTATTTTTAACTAATAGTTTTCAGTAGTATTCATTATGTTTTTTAAATAAGCAGCACTGCTTCTCTACTGTGTGAAGCTTGATATTACTCAAACTGGGTTATTTTTTCAGCAACAAATATCAAACGTCACATTTGATCAAATTTACTTTGTGAAGTATGAAGTGAAGTTAAAATAATTCCCCCCTATAAAACATGTATTCTTCTTTACTAGGGCTATTCATATTGTAGTAGGTAACTAGTAAATACAAATGAATAGATTTTGTGTCTGCTGTGTGTGTGTGGTGCCTCTGTAGGAATATCAAGCTGACAGAAAGCATGACGGGTGCTTCTAAGGTTTTCCTCCTTCTACTTCAAGGTAGGGTTTCCAACAATTTAATGCCTTTCGATGTCTTTAGATTACTCACAAAAAGTGCAAAATATGCTTTTTTGTTTAATTTAACGTTTTGTGTGTGTGTGCTGTTAATTTGGACGTGTTTGTTTTCTTTTAATTATGACAGTTTACATTTCTGCTTAATTTTCTTTCTTTTTTTCAAGATAAGCTACAGTGTAGAAATGGCAATGAAAATCTTACAACCCGAGCTCCTCCAACGATGCAACATATATAATAACATACAATATAAAAAATAGTGCAAGAAGTCTATATACTGTACATGTAAATATAATATGCTATATACAAGAACAGAATATGAAATTAAATAGTGTACATTAAGACGAAGTTAAATACGGTTTATTGCGGTGATAACTATTTAGATAAATAAGTAGATTGCAAGATGACAAACAGACAAATGTTTATCGAGGCACTTAACAGAGCTCAAGTGTTTAGTCTTATGGCCTGTGGGATAAAACTGTCCCTGAGTCTGGTAGTTGTTTGAATACTTTTTTATTTTTTAACCTTGACGGATATTTAATTTATTGCTTTTATTTCACCTCAGGTAGCTTATGCTTGAAGTGGGAAATCACCATGCCTCTGAGAATAGATGGACTAACTGGATCCTGTGTGAAGGTCCCCTGCACTTTCGACATCGACTCAATGTATGATGTAAATCTGGATAATTCCTGCAAAGCAATTTGGATCAGAGGAAGCACGGCCGGAATAAATGTGTTTGATTCCAGCCTCACTGGAGATCAGGCAAGCGGAAACATTCTGAAAGGAAACCTCACAGGGAACCTGCAGAACAAGGAGTGCACCACCATCTTCTACAACATGCCACCGTCCCATTCTGACAACTACTACTTCAGGATTCAGTGTGATCACAGGCTGAAGGCCAACTATCCAACAGGAGTCCGTATCACCACTCAAAGTTTGTATTGTGTCTTTTAATTGTTTCACTTTACACATCTTTTGGTTTCCCTCTTGTCATGTACTTGTTTGTTTTACTCCTCAGATTCACTGGACCAACCTACCATAACTCCATCTACACTGGAGGTAGAAGAGGGGGCTCTGGTGACGTTGAGCTGCACGGCTGTAGCTCCGTGTCCCATCCTTCCCCCAGATCTGACTTGGACCCCCAGGATAGGTGACATTGAGGAGACACATGAATCTGAATCCATGGTCTCAGTTATGAACTTCACCTCTTCTTACCTCAACAATGGACAGAACTTTTCGTGCACCGCTCTCTACAAACCACAAGCTGGCAACACCGACCTTCGGTTTGAAAAGTTTATGACCCTCCATGTTCTTTGTGAGTATGTTTCAGGCCTTTTCTTGTTGCTGAGTTGGATGTTGATTTAGTTCACATTTAATCATTCCCTTAATTTGATATAATGTGATGTTATGAAATGTTCCTCTGGGGACTCTGCAGAGTATTTGGATCAAGTTGTGTTAACTAAAACTGCAGACTTGATTATCTAGTGAAATAAAAGGGTCATTATGCTGACTTGAGTTTATTCTTATTTTTATTATTTAAAGGTCACATATCATGCAAAATGCATTTTTAGATGTCTTAATACATTCATATGTGTAGACATCACCAAGTGTCAGAAAATACAACCCTCTCTCTTTTCCTCCTTGCACACACATCTCTAAAAATAGGGGTACAACGGAGCTGCTCACCGTTATTATGTAATATCGGTAATGTGAGCTGGCTTTACTTCCACAGCCCTATCAGAAACGTCGCCCTATCAGAAACAATACGCAATGTTTTGGAAGTAATATGGTCTGTGTTTACATTAGCAAGCATCGCTAACACTCAGCGAGAGAGAGAGTATGTGTAAAGAAGCAGGATATACAAATGTACTCACCTTGTGGTAAAACCGTGAGAGAAAAAGCATTTGAGTTCCATACTGTTTCAGAAATACTCCTTGATGTGGTTTGGAACATAATATGGCGTTTAATCAAGGCAGCGGTTTTCTTTTTTAATGCAACGGACTCGGAATCAGCACTTCTCTAACAGGGCTGAAATAGAGGGGTATGAGGCATGGCTAGAATGGGTGATCTGTTTGGTATTTTGAGCAAAACACTTCATAGACATGTTTTTTATATATATGAGACATATAATATAGATGCCTAAAAATAGTATAGTAGGAGACCTTTAAAGAGGTTTTTCACATTCTCCCAAAAGTTGGTAAGAGCGATTCATGAAGCCATCATAATGCTTTAATATTAAGAACCTTGGTGGTGCACACAATAGGGTGTTTTGTACATTGGCATGTCGAATTTCTTTTTGACAAGTGCTATATGAGAACATTTGTTTCACTCTCACATTTGTCTGTCAACAATGTAACTACAGCCAGAAGCTGGTTAGCGTAGCACAGCACAAAGACTGGCAACAAGTGGGAAAACTAGCCTGGCTCTGTCTTAAGGTAACAAAAACAGCTTACTAGATTTTCAATCATCTCTTCCAGATCCTCCAACGAACACATCAGTCAGCTACTCTGCTACAGTAAAAGAGGGCAGCTTGGTGAATCTGACCTGCAACGGCAATGCCAATCCAGCTGTGTACACTTGGTACAAAGTGAATGGAGGTCAGGTGACCGATGTGGGTTCGGGGAAAAGGTTTTCCACCACTGTCTCAGAAGTTGACAGACAGTTTTACTGTAAAGTCAGTAACAGATACGGAACCCAGAACTCATCCATCACTCAGATAGACGTACAATGTAAGTTTGATTAAAAAACAGTCAGACAGATGATCAATATTGAACGGCAACATTTAAAAATATATTTCTGTTTGTTTTATTTAGTTCCTCCCAAGGAAACTACAATAATCATTCAGCCTAAAGGTCCACTTTTGGAGGGCAGCTCTGTTTCTGCATGAACTTGTAACATCAGCTACACACAGTGGCGGCTCCAGAGTATTTTTGTTGGGTAATCTATGGTAGGGCTAACCCATACAGTGGTGGGGCTCAAGTCAGTATTTGCAATGTAATTACATACACGCTACTGTATATCGCCCCCCTTGACAGTGAAACGCCACGCGTGAGGTTTAGATTATTTCCCTGTCTCAATCCAAATTGAACTGTATGAAATAAAAAGGCACATTTGTCTTGCAGTAAATAAACAGGGCAACCTGGAGCCATTCCTACAATTTCCCCACAGGTGAAAGAGTTGACATGCTGAAAACCCAACCCCTGCAGGGGGGTCTGGGGGGATTCTCCCCCAGGAGATTTTTGAAATACTAACATAAAATACACATTCTGGTACTCTCTTGAGAAGATAAATAAATAAATCTATTACTACACATTTAAAAAAATTAATGCCATTTTTGTTTTGTGTTACTTTGTTCTGAAAGCTGAAGCTGCTGCTCCTCACAGAGAGAAGAGGGAAGAGGCTGTGTGAATTACTTTACATTGTGGATAAGGGTGGATAGCCCCCATTGTTCTGTGTGTCAAAATGAAAGACAGCCCACACACCTATCAATCATCAAACCGTGGGGTCTTATTTCATTACGTGTTGATTTCTATCAACACGTAATGTTGTATCGATGTAGCCAGATGTACTACAGCAAAATTATTCTCCGTCGCGACTTCCTGCAACAACACCACGCCGTTATCGTGATTCTGATTGGCCAGAAGACATTATCAAAGATGTTTTATTGAGAAGACGATCACGACGTGACAAAAGTTTTCAAAACCGTTTCTAGTCTTCGGTATTTCCAGACAAGTGGCTGCTGAAATCAATCTTACTAACTGCTGTCTGTGCAATTTACTCCTCGCGAGTTGGCGGACTTTATTTAGCTTACTTTAACATCATTTTTCATGGTGGGGCTATGGTGGGGCTAAGCCATTTCTTGGTATGGCTGTAGCCTACCCCAGCCATACCCTGGCGCCGCCACTGGCTACACACTATCCTTTCAGATCTCCCTAAGAACATCTCGGTGTCTGTTGACCCCTCTGGTCCGGTGCAGGATAGTTTTGCATTCAACATGTCACTTTGCAAAACTGAGAAAGGTAGAGGAATTAGCAAAATTGTGAATTTGTATTGTTTTTTTTGCATAATCTGCCTCTCTGATCAATCAATGATCAATGTAGTTTGTGGGGACTTTTCAGGCCTCCACTCTTTGTCTATTGGGATCGGTTTTGCAGTTGGAGCTCTGGGGATGCTGCTGGTGTGTTTACCGCTGCTTCTAATATACTACCGGTAAGAGACAACTCGTTTTTTTCAAAGCTACTATAAAAAACATTTTTAATGCATTTTGAGGTGGTCATCAGGGGGTTGACTCTACTGGGGACCAGGCAGGCAGCAAATTGATGTAGTGCAACCATGGCCGCCTCCAAAAATGGCTAAATATCTCAGAAAAATAAAAAAATGAAAGACTTTATTAGAAAATTATAATAAATGACTCCTTTGCAATTTATTTGTGTTTGTCGTAGGAAAGGAAAAGTCATCGCTTCCTCCGACAAGGGAAAGGCGGAGACTTGCAACCCTATAATTACTAATGCGGTGAGTTTATGTATTGCACACATTGGCAGGAAGCTTCACATACCCAACAAAAATGTACTTTTTGCTGTTTTTGCTGAGTCCTAAAAAATATAATATACTTAAAGGTGGGGTAGGTAATTTTGGAGAAACCAGCTCGAGTGCGCTAGAATTTGAAAATACACAGCTGGAACAAATCTGCCACTTCCTTACAGAGCCCCTCCTCCAACACACAAGAACGTGCACATGACCAATGAGGGCACGAGATAAGTTTGTGCACAGATGGAAGGCTGACAGGCAGGTAGGCCATCCAATCATTTTAGCCGGCCCGGCTAAAATGATTGGTCGTGCTTTTTACAGTACCACGGCTTCCACAGATGAAATTTTTTTATGGATTTGTTGTCAAAGCACTTAAGATATTCATTGCTATCGGGATGTTAAGAGCATTCCATGGAATATAACAAAAAGTGTATCTCGAGCCGGTTTCTCAAACTTACCTACCCCACCTTTAATATACTTTGTCAAAACAGCATTGTATGGTACTGTATGTCAAAAATACATAAATCGTTAAAAGTCATGATATATGTTCTTTTTTCAAAATCATGGTAGTCTATATCATGCATACAACATTCCAAAAAAGTATGTGTTTTGTATGCCATGAAACATTTCAAAATAATCAGTTGTATAATCAGTTTCAGTAGTAAAGCATGTCAGTGTTCTGTAATTCTTTCATGCAGAAATGCAGAACAAAATGCTTTAGAACATAGTTTATACAAATAGAAAGAGAAATGTAATGTGAAGATAATAAAAATTAGTATTTTAGGAAAACACAATGGATAAAAGGGAAAGTATATGGAATGCCAAACATGAGTTGAAAAAAAGTGAAACCTATCAATAATAATAATGAAATAATAAAACAAGGACAAAAATAGCATCGTCCAACTTAAGGTTTTGGAGAAAGAAAAGGTAGAAATGTCACCTGTCAAATTTAAAAAGAACGTTTTAAAAGTGTTTCAGTGTCTTTACGGTTTGTATTGATAGTATAGTATGCCATGTGTCAAGAATGTGTCAACTATCATAGTTTATTATGTTATAATAAATTCATAGTATAGTATTTAATTTAAATTAAAAAAGAAACCATATTATATTGTGCCATAAAGACATCTCATAATTTAGTATGACATACCAAATGGCATTTTAAAAAGTAAGTGTCCCATAAAATTTCAAAAAACATCATAGTATGGGAGAGTGGGGTAAGATGAGCCATTATTTTAATTATGTTGACCTCTAGGCAAGGACAAACGAGATAAAAGTCAAGTGACAACAACAACCTTTACTTCAGGATGTCTTCTGTCAATCAAAATGAAATTAATGCAAATATCACAAAAGGTCATGAAAATATGATTTCTTAAAAGAAAAAGTGGTCTTGTGGCTTAACTTGCCCAATCTGAGGGGTAAATTGAGTTAAATTAAGCCATCTGGGGGTAAATTGACCTATTGACTTTTTCAAGTTTAAACCTGAGCTGTTTACCATGGAACTGGTCAGCCAGTTTTTGGTCTGCAAGCTCCTTCTCTCTCCTGTGTGAAGACCCTCTTTGCCTCTGCTGGTCCACTGTACCTACTGTTTTCCTTTCCTTTTCCTCCTTACTTTTCACGTATCTACGCAGGGTTGTCAATATTTCGGTCTTTTGCCGCTGCTCTGATGGATTTTCCACCGTTGACATCAGTGGCCACTCTCTCCATCTCCTCTGTCTGTCTCTTGTTGAACCACTGGCTCTATTTAGCCCATTGACCGTGTGCTTCTCTCCATCACAGCCAAATAGAAATGTTGGGTTCTTCCTGAATTTATGGTCACATGACAACAAATGTGCACAGTTCCCTAGATAAAGGGGGTGGGTCAATGTACCACTGGCTCATCTTACCCCACTCTCCCCATTGGTATTTAAAAAAAGGAAGCAATTAGCGGCTCGTTACTGGCAAACAAGTTATTTCCCAAAGTGTTCTGTTCAACAATGGGCCTTATTGTGCACTACTACCTCCTTTGCTACATCACTAAAGCAACTATTTTGTTTTCTGTAGATCAACTCGTCAGAAGTGGATGTGGTTTATGGTAATGAAGCCTTTCTGGAAATGAAAGAAGTAGATGGGGAAGAACCTCTCCATTACGTCAATGTGGACTCTGCTAAACTGCAGGAGATTACAGGCCTGGACTCAGAGACGGCTGAGTATGCTGAGATCCAATCGATCTGAGGAGATGCAGAGGAAGAAGATAACATTGCTGACACTCAATTGGGACAAGAGAAGACACCTTAGTCTCATAGACCTTGTGGTGAAGATATTATGGCTGACGTTTAATGGAAATGGTAGCTTAAACACAGCAATGTGCGCCTCAAACTGCTACAGGACTTATCCATAGCAGATCCCCGCTGTGGTAAAAAGAAAACTGCAGCAGCGGTGATAGAAACTGCTCTGCAGGCAGCTTATGTAGATGCTTCAAGTTTAGTTCTGGACTTTTGTTACAGTACATATTTTTCTTTGGTCCATAAGATGCATAGCAAAACAAAATCACCATAAAATGAATACATACTGTATAGCAGGTAGTTACCCAACAATCAATTATAACAATACGTTTTTGCTTTGAAATCATGACCTTACTATATTTAATATTTGAATGCTATCTTGCATCATGATTTTACATTTAAAGCCTTTGCAAAGCGTGAAAGAAGCAGCTGGACATAGTTTGTCAAACTTTTTTTATAGATTTATTTTTCAAAATACAAAAACTTTCAGTTTGTTGGCAGTTATACAAATTGTGAAAAGATTTTATAAAGCTTGTAATGAAATAGAGCAATATGTATTTGGTACATTGTTTGAACATGTTTATTTCAGAAACAAGCCTCTTCTGCACAATATTTCAACATTAAAGCCCTCGTTGTAAATGTCAATACTTTTTTTTAAATAATGTATATTATAATAGAAACACAGTGAGACACGGGGAGAGCTGGAACTTGATGGCAAACACTGATGGTTTATTATGAAGTTACGGCTGGAGAATTGACAAGACATGTGCTGCAGCAAGAAGTTGATACAGCGGTTGCCCGACCAATTCTGAAGATCTCTACCCCAGACCCATTTATCTGGTTCTGAGAGAATAATCAACATTCTGCATAACAAGTTAAAACAGGCAAAGCATTATAACATCTCTCTCAGCTGACGCCAACAGGCAGGAACAGGGAAACAAAACACTGAGAGCACAGCAGCCCTAAGTTGCAGGCCTGTGCTCAGAGAGGGCAGTAGCCTACAAACTGATAAACTGGGTCAAAGGGGTGGGCTTGGAAAATATTTCCCCAACATACATCTTCCAATGCATACTTTTATTTCACAACTCAGAAGTTTAAACACAATGTCTTTCTTTTTAATTGTAGGTTTCATGTGTTTGGATTAAGCTCACCATTTTGGTACTTACTGATACTGATCAAAGGAGAGAAGCAGTGAAACATATTGAAATACAAACTGTATTTAACAATTAGCTGAACCTGTAAGGCAGGATAAGATAATGTAAACTCAGATTTTGATGTGAGAGTACTGGGTCTCCTCTTCATCAGAGCTGATCAATTCTCTGGCGGCTCTCTGAGTCTTTGCCTTGAAGTTCACCTGTGAATAATTGATCTCTAATTCATCCTCACTGGTGTCTGTGTTATCGTTCAATGGATTCAGAGATACGGCTGAGTGTGCTGTGCTGATGTTCTCACAGTCCTCCAGCCTCTTTTCATTCTAGAAGAAAACACAGATATAGTCTAGCGTGATACAAGGAGGTGCACTGGCTCCAGATGTTGAACAGATGTGTACGAACGCAGTTGGGGAAACTGTTACTTGATGCTTGAGGGGCAGCTGAGGTTCAACGCTGAACCAGCTGCAAGCCTTCAGCAGTTTAACACATCAGCCTGCAGCTGGGAGTCTGTTACGGCCAGGTTTCTCTTTGAGCCTGACCTCCCCCTGCTGGTCTGAGCGAAGCATTACAGCACAGGTGTACACTAAAACTACAACAGGGTGTGAACACAATACTAGCAGCACCTGTCGATATAATGCGATCTAATATAACAATGCAACCATTTTATTAGACTGTGTGCTGCATCACTATTTCTGTCTAGTCTTGGATTGTTTTATATGGTCAGGTGTTTCCTCAAATAGGTCCATATGCTGTGTATTTGTTTTCAGAAATTACATTTTTATGAATTAAGTTATTTGGAAGTGTATATGGGTTTGATATGCAAACAAATGAAGGCATGCACTGTTATGAATGCACTATTAAATGTTTATTCATAAAAATGTTGGTCTTTTTTTCAATCAACATCTGTGTTGCCAACTTAATAATAACAATGGCACACAAATATATTCTGATCATGGAGTCTTTGATTAATATTTAGCTATTTTGCAATGTGCTGTTTAGCCTCTTGCACACACAGTAGGTTGTAAATAGTTGCATAATGTCCAGTCGTCCCTATTTTTAGTTATGGTTATTGTCGTCTCAAGATATGCGTCTGTTTTATCAATATTTTCACAATTACTAGTCATTGGTCCTGTGTCGTGTGCCTTATATTTGTATATCCTTGTTATTATACTCCTACAGGTGTATTTGTTGTAGAACTTTACATAACATTTCACAAAACACTGTTATTTTCTATATTTATTTATTTCCAACAAATATGTGAGCGAGCTTGCATGAAATCATGCACACGCACACACTCCTACATCTCTGACACCTGCGTAACTTATTACCTGTTTTTTTTATTAAGTATTTTAACAATATCCACTATTTACTTGCAGTGCAGTGTGCACATCGCAACACAGTAATAAGCTGGTAGATACATAAACTCTCCTGATAGAGAGTTGGTGCTTAAGATGATCTTCACTAAGATGCAGTTTTTACATGATCAAGAACAAACCAGATACAATGTGATTGTATATTTGGTTGTGATATATATATTTATTTGCACCAGTCGTGGCACCTTTAGAGCGAATTTCCTGCTCTTTTGACATGCTTACTGTAACAGATAAGAATAGTCAACATAAGGCTTTGACCTCATGTCTCAGACAATTAACCACATCTGTGTTTCTTGGTAACTGACATCAGTGCTGTTTTGAAAATCAGCGTACAGTTTGTAACATTACGTTCTTGGTGTGATTCTAGAAAAATCCCAGCATAAGTACTTGTATGTCAAACACCAAGTATCTGTGTTTTAAGAACCAAACTGATTCACTTTTCCTTCATCGTGTTCTTCTCTGCGTAGCTCCTAAATGTGGCTGCTCAGTAAAGTTCAGAAATAGTTTCTGCTTGTTCAAAAACATCACACACAATGCCCACTGGCAACTAGTTTGGTAAAGCCTTTATACTTCACTTTGTTTTCACTTATATTCACTTCAACTTGACTGTTTCATTTATGACACTTTATGACTTCTACTGTTTATGCATGTAAAGTATCACATTGTTGTTTCTTCCCTCTTTCTGCATTGCCTTTCATTTTGTTTCTCTTCACTTCCTCTTTGTTTCAAATTGACAAAATGATCTGATGAAACAGTTGAGTACTTGAGTGTGGAAACAAATGTCATATTTTATATTTTCTGTTTGTCGAATATGTAAATCAACAACTCACTTTTGAAAACACATTTATATTTCATTATAACATTCTGGTTTGGAACATTGTTCTGTGAATCCCTTAGGAAATGACTGATGGGACTTGCATTCATGTAGTAAAAAGATTCAAAACTCTATGGTGCTGAAGGCCACACCCCGGACACATCTTTCAAAAGCCATCAACACGTGACACCAGTCTGACATGACTCAGTTGTTGGACTATTACCACTGACCCTTCCATGCTGGTGAAACCTTTATTTGTTTCTTTATCCATTTCTGAAACGTAGATCAGTACTGTATATACTACTACTACTAATGTATTTATTTCTTCTCTAGAAACAGAAAATATCGTATGCTGACCATCATTGTTGGCTGTAAGGTAAGATAATTGTTTTTAAAAACTCAAATGATTGCAAGTCATAAAATGTCAGGCTTATTGTTGTTTGTTCGTGGTAAGAATAATTGACATACCTTTTAAAGAAGTTTTGTATTTGTTTTATTACTTTCTACATAAAATGTTTTGCAAAACATATGCAAAACATTTTAAATATATATATATAATATATATATATATATATATATATATATATATATATATATATATATATATATATATTGATCAAAACAAATGCAAAACATTTTAAATAGTTATCATTAGTTAACATCCCTTATATTATCTTTGAAAGGACGACATTATTTCCTCTTTTTAGTGATGAAACCAGTAACAGTAAGAGTACATTGCAATACAAGTTAAAGCAATAGTTTAAAAGTATTACATTTATTTTTAACTAATACTTTTCAGTAGTATTCATTATGTTTTTTAAATAAGCAGCACTGCTTCTCTACTGTGTGAAACTTGAAATTACTCAAACTGGGTTATTCTTTCAGCAACAAAAATCAAACGTCACATTTGATGATATTTACTTTGTGAAGTATGAAGTGAATTTAATATAATTCCCCCCTATAAAACATGTATTCTTTTTTACTAGGGCTATTCCTATTGCAGTAGGTAACTAGTAAATACAAATGAATAGATTGTGTGTCTGTTGTGTGGTGACTCTGCAGGAATATCAAGCTGACAGAAAAGCATGACGGGTGCTTTAAAGGTTTTCCTCCTTCTACTTCAAGGTAGGGTTTCCAACAATTTAATGCCTTTGGATGTCTTTTGATTACTCACAAAAAGTGCAAAATATGCTTTTTTGTTTAAAATTAAGGTTTTGTGTGTGTGCTGTTTATTTGGACGGGTTTGTTTTCTTTTAATTATGACAGTTTACATTTCTGCTTGATTGTTTTCTTTTTTTTCAAGATAAGCTACAGTGTAGAAATGGCAATGATAATCTTATGACCCGAGCTCCTCCAACGATGCAACATATATTATAAAATACAATGTAAAAAATAGTGCAAGAAGTCTATATACTGTACATGTAAATAGAATATGTTATATACAAGAACAGAATATGAAATTAAATAATGTACATTAAGACGAAGTTAAATACGGTTTATTGCGGTGATAACTATTTAGATAAATAAGTAGATTGCAAGATGACAAACAGATGAATGTTTGTCGAGGCACTTAACAGAGCTCAAGTGTTTAGTCTTATGGCCTGTGGGATAAAACTGTCCCTGAGTCTGGTAGTTGTTTGAATACTTTTTTATTTTTTAACCTTGACGGATATTTAATGTATTGCTTTTATTTCACCTCAGGTAGCTTATGCTTGAAGTGGGAAATCACCATGCCTCTGAGAATAGATGGACTAACTGGATCCTGTGTGAAGGTCCCCTGCACTTTCGACATCGACTCAATGTATGATGTAAATCTGGATAATTCCTGCAAAGCAATTTGGATCAGAGGAAGCACGGCCGGAATAAATGTGTTTGATTCCAGCCTCACTGGAGATCAGGCAAGCGGAAACATTCTGAAAGGAAACCTCACAGGGAACCTGCAGAACAAGGAGTGCACCACCATCTTCTACAACATGCCACCGTCCCATTCTGACAACTACTTCTTCAGGATTGAGTGTGATAACAGGCTGAAGTACCACTTTCCAACAGGAATCCGTATCACCACTCAAAGTTTGTAATGTGTCTTTTAATTTTTTCACTTTACACATCTTTTGGTTTCCCTCTTGTCATGTACTTGTTTTTTCTACTCCTCAGATTCACTGGACCAACCTACTGTACCATAACTCCATCTACACTGGAGGTAGAAGAGGGGGCTCTGGTGACGTTGAACTGCACGGCTGTAGCTCCGTGTCCCATCCTTCCCCCAGATCTGACTTGGACCCCCAGGATAGGTGACATTGAGGAGAAACATGAATCTGAATCCATGGTCTCAGTTATGAACTTCACCTCTTCTTACCTCCACAATGGACAGAACTTTTCATGCACCGCTCTCTACAAACGACAAGCTGGCAACACCGACCTTCGGTTTGAAAAGTTTATGACCCTCCATGTTCTTTGTGAGTATGTTTCAGGCCTTTTCTTGTTGCTGAGTTGGATGTTGATTTAGTTCACATTTAATCATTCCCTTCATTTGATATAATGTGATGTTATGAAATGTTCCTCTGGGGACTCTGCAGAGTATTTGGATCAAGTTGTGTTAACTAAAACTGCAGACTTGATTATCTAGTGAAATAAAAGGGTCATTATGCTGACTTGAGTTTATTCTTATTTTTATTATTTAAAGGTCACATATCATGCAAAATGCATTTTTAGATGTCTTAATACATTCATATGTGTAGACATCACCAAGTGTCAGAAAATACAACCCTCTCTCTTTTCCTCCTTGCACACACATCTCTAAAAATAGGGGTACAACGGAGCTGCTCACCGTTATTATGTAATATCGGTAATGTGAGCTGGCTTTACTTCCACAGCCCTATCAGAAACGTCGCCCTATCAGAAACAATACGCAATGTTTTGGAAGTAATATGGTCTGTGTTTACATTAGCAAGCATCGCTAACACTCAGCGAGAGAGAGAGTATGTGTAAAGAAGCAGGATATACAAATGTACTCACCTTGTGGTAAAACCGTGAGAGAAAAAGCATTTGAGTTCCATACTGTTTCAGAAATACTCCTTGATGTGGTTTGGAACATAATATGGCGTTTAATCAAGGCAGCGGTTTTCTTTTTTAATGCAACGGACTCGGAATCAGCACTTCTCTAACAGGGCTGAAATAGAGGGGTATGAGGCATGGCTAGAATGGGTGATCTGTTTGGTATTTTGAGCAAAACACTTCATAGACATGTTTTTTATATATATGAGACATATAATATAGATGCCTAAAAATAGTATAGTAGGAGACCTTTAAAGAGGTTTTTCACATTCTCCCAAAAGTTGGTAAGAGCGATTCATGAAGCCATCATAATGCTTTAATATTAAGAACCTTGGTGGTGCACACAATAGGGTGTTTTGTACATTGGCATGTCGAATTTCTTTTTGACAAGTGCTATATGAGAACATTTGTTTCACTCTCACATTTGTCTGTCAACAATGTAACTACAGCCAGAAGCTGGTTAGCGTAGCACAGCACAAAGACTGGCAACAAGTGGGAAAACTAGCCTGGCTCTGTCTTAAGGTAACAAAAACAGCTTACTAGATTTTCAATCATCTCTTCCAGATCCTCCAACGAACACATCAGTCAGCTACTCTGCTACAGTAAAAGAGGGCAGCTTGGTGAATCTGACCTGCAACGGCAATGCCAATCCAGCTGTGTACACTTGGTACAAAGTGAATGGAGGTCAGGTGACCGATGTGGGTTCGGGGAAAAGGTTTTCCACCACTGTCTCAGAAGTTGACAGACAGTTTTACTGTAAAGTCAGTAACAGATACGGAACCCAGAACTCATCCATCACTCAGATAGACGTACAATGTAAGTTTGATTAAAAAACAGTCAGACAGATGATCAATATTGAACGGCAACATTTAAAAATATATTTCTGTTTGTTTTATTTAGTTCCTCCCAAGGAAACTACAATAATCATTCAGCCTAAAGGTCCACTTTTGGAGGGCAGCTCTGTTTCTGCATGAACTTGTAACATCAGCTACACACAGTGGCGGCTCCAGAGTATTTTTGTTGGGTAATCTATGGTAGGGCTAACCCATACAGTGGTGGGGCTCAAGTCAGTATTTGCAATGTAATTACATACACGCTACTGTATATCGCCCCCCTTGACAGTGAAACGCCACGCGTGAGGTTTAGATTATTTCCCTGTCTCAATCCAAATTGAACTGTATGAAATAAAAAGGCACATTTGTCTTGCAGTAAATAAACAGGGCAACCTGGAGCCATTCCTACAATTTCCCCACAGGTGAAAGAGTTGACATGCTGAAAACCCAACCCCTGCAGGGGGGTCTGGGGGGATTCTCCCCCAGGAGATTTTTTGAAATACTAACATAAAATACACATTCTGGTACTCTCTTGAGAAGATAAATAAATAAATCTATTACTACACATTTAAAAAAATGAATGCCATTTTTGTTTTGTGTTACTTTGTTCTGAAAGCTGAAGCTGCTGCTCCTCACAGAGAGAAGAGGGAAGAGGCTGTGTGAATTACTTTACATTGTGGATAAGGGTGGATAGCCCCCATTGTTCTGTGTGTCAAAATGAAAGACAGCCCACACACCTATCAATCATCAAACCGTGGGGTCTTATTTCATTACGTGTTGATTTCTATCAACACGTAATGTTGTATCGATGTAGCCAGATGTACTACAGCAAAATTATTCTCCGTCGCGACTTCCTGCAACAACACCACGCCGTTATCGTGATTCTGATTGGCCAGAAGACATTATCAAAGATGTTTTATTGAGAAGACGATCACGACGTGACAAAAGTTTTCAAAACCGTTTCTAGTCTTCGGTATTTCCAGACAAGTGGCTACTGAAATCAATCTTACTAACTGCTGTCTGTGCAATTTACTCCTCGCGAGTTGGCGGACTTTATTTAGCTTACTTTAACATCATTTTTCATGGTGGGGCTATGGTGGGGCTAAGCCATTTCTTGGTATGGCTGTAGCCTACCCCAGCCATACCCTGGCGCCGCCACTGGCTACACACTATCCTTTCAGATCTCCCTAAGAACATCTCGGTGTCTGTTGACCCCTCTGGTCCGGTGCAGGAGGGTTGCCCTGATAGTTTTGCATTCAACATGTCACTTTGCAAAACTGAGAAAGGTAGAGGAATTAGCAAAATTGTGAATTTGTATTGTTTTTTTTGCATAATCTGCCTCTCTGATCAATCAATGATCAATGTGGTTTGTGGGGACTTTTCAGGCCTCCACTCTTTGTCTATTGGGATCGGTTTTGCAGTTGGAGCTCTGGGGATGCTGCTGGTGTGTTTACCGCTGCTTCTAATATACTACCGGTAAGAGACAACTCGTTTTTTTCAAAGCTACTATAAAAAACATTTTTAATGCATTTTGAGGTGGTCATCAGGGGGTTGACTCTACTGGGGACCAGGCAGGCAGCAAATTGATGTAGTGCAACCATGGCCGCCTCCAAAAATGGCTAAATATCTCAGAAAAATAAAAAAATGAAAGACTTTATTAGAAAATTATAATAAATGACTCCTTTGCAATTTATTTGTGTTTGTCGTAGGAAAGGAAAAGTCATCTCTTCCTCCGACAAAGGAAAGGCGGAGACTTGCAACCCTATAATTACTAATGCGGTGAGTGTATTGCACACATTGTCAGGAAGCTTCACATACCCAACAAAAATGTACTTTTTGCTGTTTTTGCTGAGTCCTAAAAAATATAATATACTTAAAGGTGGGGTAGGTAATTTTGGAGAAACCAGCTCGAGTGCGCTAGAATTTGAAAATACACAGCTGGAACAAATCTGCCACTTCCTTACAGAGCCCCTCCTCCAACACACAAGAACGTGCACATGACCAATGAGGGCACGAGATAAGTTTGTGCACAGATGGAAGGCTGACAGGCAGGTAGGCCATCCAATCATTTTAGCCGGCCCGGCTAAAATGATTGGTCGTGCTTTTTACAGTATTACAGCTTCCACAGATGACATTTTTTTTATGGATTTCTTGTCAAAGCACTTAAGATATTCATTGCTATCGGGATGTTAAGAGCATTCCATGGAATATAACAAAAAGTGTATCTCGAGCCGGTTTCTCAAACTTACCTACCCCACCTTTAATATACTTTGTCAAAACAGCATTGTATGGTACTGTATGTCAAAAATACATAAATCGTTAAAAGTCATGATATATGTTCTTTTTTCAAAATCATGGTAGTCTATATCATGCATACAACATTCCAAAAAAGTATGTGTTTTGTATGCCATGAAACATTTCAAAAATAATCAGTTGTATAATCAGTTTCAGTAGTAAAGCATGTCAGTGTTCTGTAATTCTTTCATGCAGAAATGCAGAACAAAATGCTTTAGAACATAGTTTATACAAATAGAAACAGAAATGTAATGTGAAGATAATAAAAATTAGTATTTTAGGAAAACACAATGGATAAAAGGGAAAGTATATGGAATGCCAAACATGAGTTGAAAAAAAGTGAAACCTATCAATAATAATAATGAAATAATAAAACAAGGACAAAAATAGCATCGTCCAACTTCAGGTTTTGGAGAAAGAAAAGGTAGAAATGTCACCTGTCAAATTTAAAAAGAACGTTTTAAAAGTGTTTCAGTGTCTTTACGGTTTGTATTGATAGTATAGTATGCCATGTGTCAAGAATGTGTCAACTATCATAGTTTATTATGTTATAATAAATTCATAGTATAGTATTTAATTTAAATTAAAAAAGAAACCATATTATATTGTGCCATAAAGACATCTCATAATTTAGTATGACATACCAAATGGCATTTTAAAAAGTAAGTGTCCCATAAAATTTCAAAAACATCATAGTATGGGAGAGTGGGGTAAGATGAGCCATTATTTTAATTATGTTGACCTCTAGGCAAGGACAAACGAGATAAAAGTCAAGTGACAACAACAACCTTTACTTCAGGATGTCTTCTGTCAATCAAAATGAAATTAATGCAAATATCACAAAAGGTCATGAAAATATGATTTCTTAAAAGAAAAAGTGGTCTTGTGGCTTAACTTGCCCAATCTGAGGGGTAAATTGAGTTCAATTAAGCCATCTGGGGGTAAATTGACCTATTGACTTTTTCAAGTTTAAACCTGAGCTGTTTACCATGGAACTGGTCAGCCAGTTTTTGGTCTGCAAGCTCCTTCTCTCTCCTGTGTGAAGACCCTCTTTGCCTCTGCTGGTCCACTGTACCTACTGTTTTCCTTTCCTTTTCCTCCTTACTTTTCACGTATCTACGCAGGGTTGTCAATATTTCGGTCTTTTGCCGCTGCTCTGATGGATTTTCCACCGTTGACATCAGTGGCCACTCTCTCCATCTCCTCTGTCTGTCTCTTGTTGAACCACTGGCTCTATTTAGCCCATTGACCGTGTGCTTCTCTCCATCACAGCCAAATAGAAATGTTGGGTTCTTCCTGAATTTATGGTCACATGACAACAAATGTGCACAGTTCCCTAGATAAAGGGGGTGGGTCAATGTACCACTGGCTCATCTTACCCCACTCTCCCCATTGGTATTTAAAAAAAGGAAGCAATTAGCGGCTCGTTACTGGCAAACAAGTTATTTCCCAAAGTGTTCTGTTCAACAATGGGCCTTATTGTGCACTACTACCTCCTTTGCTACATCACTAAAGCAACTATTTTGTTTTCTGTAGATCAACTCGTCAGAAGTGGATGTGGTTTATGGTAATGAAGCCTTTCTGGAAATGAAAGAAGTAGATGGGGAAGAACCTCTCCATTACGTCAATGTGGACTCTGCTAAACTGCAGGAGATTACAGGCCTGGACTCAGAGACGGCTGAGTATGCTGAGATCCAATCGATCTGAGGAGATGCAGAGGAAGAAGATAACATTGCTGACACTCAATTGGGACAAGAGAAGACACCTTAGTCTCATAGACCTTGTGGTGAAGATATTATGGCTGACGTTTAATGGAAATGGTAGCTTAAACACAGCAATGTGCGCCTCAAACTGCTACAGGACTTATCCATAGCAGATCCCCGCTGTGGTAAAAAGAAAACTGCAGCAGCGGTGATAGAAACTGCTCTGCAGGCAGCTTATGTAGATGCTTCAAGTTTAGTTCTGGACTTTTGTTACAGTACATATTTTTCTTTGGTCCATAAGATACATAGCAAAACAAAATCACCATAAAATGGATACATACTGTATAGCAGGTAGTTACCCAACAATCAATTATAACAATACGTTTTTGCTTTGAAATCATGACCTTACTATATTTAATATTTGAATGCTATCTTGCATCATGATTTTACATTTAAAGCCTTTGCAAAGCGTGAAAGAAGCAGCTGGACATAGTTTGTCAAACTTTTTTTATAGATTTATTTTTCAAAATACAAAAACTTTCAGTTTGTTGGCAGTTATACAAATTGTGAAAAGATTTTATAAAGCTTGTAATGAAATAGAGCAATATGTATTTGGTACATTGTTTGAACATGTTTATTTCAGAAACAAGCCTCTTCTGCACAATATTTCAACATTAAAGCCCTCGTTGTAAATGTCAATACTTTTTTTTAAATAATGTATATTATAATAGAAACACAGTGAGACACGGGGAGAGCAGGAACTTGATGGCAAACACTGATGGTTTATTATGAAGTTACGGCCGGAGAATTGACAAGACATGTGCTGCAGCAAGAAGTTGATACAGCGGTTGCCCGACCAATTCTGAAGATCTCTACCCCAGACCCATTTAGCTGGTTCTGAGAGAATAATCAACATTCTGCATAACAAGTTAAAACAGGCAAAGCATATAACATCTCTATCAGCTGACGCCAACAGGCAGGAACAGGGAAACAAAACACTGAGAGCACAGCAGCCCTAAGTTGCAGGCCTGTGCTCAGAGAGGGCAGTAGCATACAAACTGATAAACTGGGTCAAAAGGGTGGGCTTGGAAAATATTTCCCCAACATACATCTTCCAATGCATACTTTTATTTCACAACTCAGAAGTTTAAACACAATGTCTTTCTTTTTAATTGTAGGTTTCATGTGTTTGGATTAAGCTCACCATTTTGGTACTTACTGATAGCCTACTGATCAAAGGAGAGAAGCAGTGAAACATATTGAAATACAAACTGTATTTAACAATTGGCTGAACCTGTAAGGCAGGATAAGATCATGTAAACTCAGATTTTGATGTGAGAGTACTGGGTCTCCTCTTCATCAGAGCTGATCAATTCTCTGGCGGCTCTCTGAGTCTTTGCCTTGAAGTTCACCTGTGAATAATTGATCTCTAATTCATCCTCACTGGTGTCTGTGTTATCGTTCAATGGATTCAGAGATACGGCTGAGTGTGCTGTGCTGATGTTCTCACAGTCCTCCAGCCTCTTTTCATTCTAGAAGAAAACACAGATATAGTCTAGCGTGATACGAGGAGGTGTACTGGCTCCAGATGTTGAACAGATGTGTACGAACGCAGTGGGGGAAACTGTTACTTGATGCTTGAGAGGCGGCTGAGGTTCAACGCTGAACCAGCTGCAAGCCTTCAGCAGTTTAACACATCAGCCTGCAGCTGGGAGTCTGTTACTGCCAGGTTTCTCTTTGAGCCTGAGCTCCCCCTGCTGGTCTGAGCGAAGCATTACAGCACAGGTGTACACTAAAATTACAACAGGGTGTGAACACAATACTAGCAACACCTGTCGATATAATGCGATCTAATTTAACAATGCAACCATTTTATTAGACTGTGTGCTGCGTCACTATTTCTGTCTAGTCTTGGATTGTTTTATATGGTCAGGTGTTTCCTCAAATAGGTCCATATGCTGTATATTTGTTTTCAGAAATTACATTTTTATGAATTAAGTTATTTGGAAGTGTATATGGGTTTGATATGCAAACAAATGAAGGCATGCACTGTTCTGAATGCACTATTAAATGTTTATTCATAAAAATGTTGGTCTTTTTTTCAATCAACATCTGTATTGCCAACTTAATAATAACAATGGCACACAAATATATTCTGATCATGGAGTCTTTGATTAATATTTAGCTATTTTGCAATGTGCTGTTTAGCCTCTTGCACACACAGTAGGTTGTAAATAGTTGCATAATGTCCAGTCGTCCCTATTTTTAGTTATGGTTATTGTCGTCTCAAGATATGCGTCTGTTTTATCAATATTTTCACAATTACTAGTCATTGGTCCTGTGTCGTGTGCCTTATATTTGTATATCCTTGTTATTATACTCCTACAGGAGTATTTGTTGTAGAACTTTACATAACATTTCACAAAACACTGTTATTTTCTATATTTATTTATTTCCAACAAATATGTGAGCGAGCTTGCATGAAATCATGCACACGCACACACTCCTACATCCCTGACACCTGCGTAACTTATTACCTGTTTTTTTTGTTAAGTATTTTAACAATATCCACTATTTACTTGCAGTGCAGTGTGCACATCGCAACACAGTAATAAGCTGGTAGATACATAAACTCTCCTGTTAGAGAGTTGGTGCTTAAGATGATCTTCACTAAGATGCAGTTTTTACATGATCAAGAACAAACCAGATACAATGTAATTGTATATTTGGTTGTGATATATATATTTATTTGCACCAGTCGTGGCACCTTTAGAGCGAATTTCCTGCTCTTTTGACATGCTTACTGTAACAGATAAGAATAGTCAACATAAGGCTTTGACCTCATGTCTCAGACAATTAACCACATCTGTGTTTCTTGGTAACTGACATCAGTGCTGTTTTGAAAATCAGCGTACAGTTTGTAACATTACGTTCTTGGTGTGATTCTAGAAAAATCCCGGCACAAATACTTGTATGTCAAACACCAAGTATCTGTGTTTTAAGAACCAAACTGATTCACTTTTCCTTCATCGTGTTCTTCTCTGCGTAGCTCCTAAATGTGGCTGCTCAGGAAAGTTCAGAAATAGTTTCTGCTTGTTCAAAAACATCACACACAATGCCTACTGGCAACTCGTTTGGTAAAGCCTTTATACTTCACTTTGTTTTCACTTATATTTACTTCAACTTGACTGTTTCATTTATGACACTTTATGACTTCTACTGTTTGCGCACGTAAAGTATCACATTGTTGTTTCTTCCCTCTTTCTGCATTGCCTTTCATTTTGTTTCTCTTCACTTCCTCTTTGTTTCAAATTGACAAAATGATCTGATGAAACAGTTGAGTACTTGAGTGTGGAAACAAATGTCATATTTTATATTTTCAGTTTGTTGAATATGTAAATCAACAACTCACTTTTGAAAACACATTTATATGTTATAATAACATTCTGGTTTGGAACATTGTTCTGTGAATCCCTTAGGAAATGACTGATGGGACTTGCATTCATGTAGTAAAAAGAGATTAAAAACTCTATTGTGCTGAAGGCCACACCCCGGACACATCTTTCAAAAGCCATCAACACACGACACCAGTCTGACATGACTCAGTTGTTGGACTATTACCACTGACCCTTCCATGCTGGTGAAACCTTTATTTGTTTCTTTATCCATTTCTGAAACGTAGATCAGTACTGTATATACTACTACTACTAATGTATTTATTTCTTCTCTAGAAACAGAAAATATCGTATGCTGACCATCATTGTTGGCTGTAAGGTAAGATAATTGTTTTTGAAAAAAAGTCATACAATGTCAGGCTTTTTTTTATCGGTTAATTCAGTCATTTTGTTACATATGTATATGTTGTTTGTTCGTGGTGAAAATAATTTACATACCTTTAAAGACATTTTGTAATTTTGTTTTATTACTTTCTACATAAAAGGTTTTGCAAAACATATGCAAAACATTTTAAATAGTTATCAGTATATGTATATATTATATTATTTCATATATATATTGCTTTCTGTTTGTAAGAATAATGTGCATACCTTTACAGAATTTCTATCAAAACAAATGCAAAATATTTTAAATAGTTATCATTAGTTAACATCTTCATGCTAGCTCCCTTATATTATCTTTGAAAGGAGGACATTATTTCCTCTTTTTAGTGATGAAACCAGTAACAGTAAGAGTACATTGCAATACAAGTTAAAGCAATAGTTTAAAAGTATGAATTTTATAAATAACTAATACTTTTCAGTAGTATTCATTATGTTTTTTAAATAAGCAGCACTGCTTCTCTACTGTGTGAAGCTTGATATTACTCAAACTGGGTTATTCTTTCAGCAAAACATATCAAACGTCACATTTGATCATATTTACTTTGTGAAGTATGAAGTGAAGTTAATATAATTCCCCCCTATAAAACATGTATTCTTCTTTAGTAGGGCTATTCATATTGTAGTAGGTAACTAGTAAATACAAATGAATAGATGTTGTGTCTGTTGTGTGTGTGTGGTGCCTCTGTAGGAATATCAAGCTGACAGAAAAGCATGACGGGTGCTTTAAAGGTTTTCCTCCTTCTACTTCAAGGTAGGGTTTCCAACAATTTAATGCCTTTGATGTCTTTTGATTACTCACAAAAAGTGCAAAATATGCTTTTTTGTTTATAGTTAAGGTTGTGTGTGTGCTGTTTATTTGGATGGGTTTGTTTTCTTTTAATTATGACAGTTTACATTTCTGCTTAATTATTTTTTCAAGATAAGCTACAGTGTAGTAATGGCAATCATAATCTTATGACCCGAGCTCCTCCAACGATGCAACATATATAATAACATACAATTAAAAAAATAGTGCAAGAAGTCTATATACATGTAAATAGAATATGATATATACAAGAACAGAATATGAAATTAAATAATGTACATTAAGACGAAGTTAAATACGGTTTATTGCGGTGATAACTATTTAGATAAATAAGTAGATTGCAAGATGACAAACAGATGAATGTTTATCGAGGCACTTAACAGAGCTCAGGTGTTTAGTCTTATGGCCTGTGGGATAAAACTGTCCCAGAGTCTGGTAGTTGTTTGAATACTTTTTTTTTTTTTACCTTGGCGGATATTTAATGTATTGCTTTTATTTCACCTCAGGTAGCTTATGCTTCAGGTGGGAAATCACCATGCCACGGAGAATAGATGGACTAACTGGATCCTGTGTGAAGGTCCCCTGCACTTTCGACTTAGACTCGCAGTTTGATGGAGATCTGGATCATACCTGCAAAGCAATTTGGATCAGAGGAAGCCCGAAAGGAACAAATTTGTTTGATTCCAGCCTCATTGGAGATCAGGCAAGCGGAAACATTCTGCAAGGAAACCTCACAGGGAACCTGCAGAACAAGGAGTGCACCACCATCTTCTACAACATGCCACCGTCCCATTCTGACAACTACTACTTCAGGATTCAGTGTAATAACAGGCTGAAGGTCACCTACGCAACAGGAGTCCGTATCACGACTCAAAGTTTGTATTGTGTCTTTTAATTTTTTCACTTTACACATCTTTTGGTTTCCCTCTTGTCATGTACTTGTTTTTTTTACTCCTCAGATTCACTGGACCAACCTACCATAACTCCATCTACACTGGAGGTAGAAGAGGGGGCTCTGGTGACGTTGAGCTGCACGGCTGTAGCTCCGTGTCCCATCCTTCCCCCAGATCTGACTTGGACCCCC